TTGCTGTAGAACGCGAAATACCAGATCATTTTTAGGAATTAATTTAAAAGAAAATGAAACACGTATTTATTCAAAACTGTCATAATATATTGAGTCATATTTGAGCTACATGTTAGAATTGGTTCACAATAAAATATTGAATACGTGCGCCGGTATAGGAGCGTAACTTTAGAACCTTGGCGGCAGAGTTGACAATTGGAGTGCAGACTAGCACTGGCTGCAATTATTTGAAATAGATAAAAAAAAAATGTTCATAAGTCCATGACGTATCGTCATCGGTAAATCTAAAAAAGCGTATGAAATTTCAAAATTGTGAGAATGATACAGCTTTGGATACAAATGTTAATATTTTGGCAATCAACTTTACTCTCCTTTGGCTGTAATGAATGATTTAATTGGTGAAATCGAAGCGGATCTCAGCTTTGCCGACGAGGAAAAACAGTGTTCTAAAAAAACCTTAATATTTTAAGAAGATCGGATGAATAATTTATAAAATACATGGCACGCCACGTTTCGAGAAAAAGACGTTCAAAGTTTTACGTACAAAAAATTTAAACTTCTCGAATACTTACAACTGTTCGAGGTTAATCAGCTATTCCAGGACCATTTAATAACTTCCTGCTTCCTTATAAATGTCCTGCTGGGCACGTTAGTGCGCGTCGTGCGCTTCAGCAAATGCCTGTCATTGCTTGCCTACTTTGATGTCCAGTGTGTTCATTACTTTCAAGATTGCGTAATAGCCTTCATTGAAAATATCGGCAGCGATCAAAGCGGCGATTTTAATGATTTTATAGCCGGAATGCAAATGTTTCGGCGTTAAACGCTAAAAGTGAAGTAGCGCTCTTTGTTTATACGCTAGTGTCCCATTCACAAAGTGCATACACACAGATAGGCACAAATAAAAACCCTGTATGATTTGTATAGAAAACGTATACTGTATACAAAGGTGTGTATACAATAATGTATGTGTATATACAAACAAGAGTGACCGAGCGAGAAGCGACCGCAGCACAGCGGGCAGGGTCACGCATCGTGCGCTCGATGCTCAGGTAGAAAATTCATCGTAGGTCCGGTAATATTTGGAGTCTTTACCTGTAACTTTGAGAGTATGTTCTTCAAATGTTATTCTGACGATTCATAAAAATAAAAATTCAATTTTATCGACCCGGTATAGCAGGACCCTCTTTAAAGAATCGTTAATAACTTGTCTAGCCAATTATTATTTATTCAAATGTTAAAATAATGAAAAAAACGCATATATCTTATTTTCGCCCAATGTCCTAATTAAGATATTAAAATTCTCTTGATCTCAACTGTGCTAGCTATAGGTCTTAATGAGTTAAACGAGTTCTTATTAAAAGTAAATCATATAATACTATCATAAACGGTTTTATATTTAAATTCTGCATTAGAATAATTTAATTACCTTTTTAAATAAGACACTCCTACGGGTTCAATTCGGTTGCGTTAATTACAAATCACCTAAAAAACCGATCCGCTATTTCAAAATATTCCGAAATAGGAAAGCCATACAACAAAAAATATACGTGGTTATTCAGGACTATTGAACCACCTGACAACGTTTCTGCCCATTTGATTTCTATTATTTCTACTACCCATGGTAGAACTATATTCAGGTGATTCAGTAGTCTGAAATAACCGAGTACTTATACATATATAATATAGTATTCATAGCTATTGTGCCAGCTGAAGTTGCTGCGCTCATTTATTTTCTATGAACTATTATAGTAGATCGATCTTCAACTAGAACAATAGCTCTGAAAAACCAGAGTATACGATAGTGTATAATTGATCAAATATGAACGATATTCGATAAACATTATAGACGATGATAAGCGGTAACAAATTTTAGTGCATTAAAGAAATATCAAAAATTATTTCTCAATGACACGATATTATAATATTACTTTGAAGTTAATAGTCATAAATCTAAATAACTAAACTATCAATGTATCGTCATGAAAATCATAATTGTTATAACTTGTATCGCAATTGTTAGGTGTTAACGTGTGATCGCAAGTTTTCGAAATAACCTAACAACGTCATTGACATACAAATGCGGATTTCATACTATTTGCGCGAACATTGCGTATCGGCAGTAAGTCGGTAGAATGAGAAAGCGGATGCTGCAAAGTTAAGCCAATGGTGTAGGTCTTGAAAATCATTTATATCTATTGGTTCCTTCGAAATCTTTAAATTTCACTTAATTTACCATTTTCACAATTTTAATTGAAATCTTCAGTTATCAAGCTATGTTTTTATTTCGTACCCTTTTCGCGCTTTTCGTAAGTGGCAGAAACAACAAAAACACTTTTCATACCTTAAACTTTGCGATCCCTAATCGTTTCCATCTAATTATTGTATTATCCTAATTACTTTTGAAAACTTTACGTTTTTAAACCAACGTAATAACAGTTATTACGCGGCTACACATTAGTGATTGATGTGCCGAATACTCATGATTGTTGGAAAAAATGTATCGCATGTGAATTGCATAGAGTGACGTAACCTTCCAGTTATTAAAAATTAAAAATTGTTAATGTCGTAGCGTTACAGCAGATTTGGAGATTAGGGATTTTGCGAAATAGTAATAATATATTTAAAAATATTAATATGTGCAATATACAATAGTATATACACAACTATGCACATAGGAGGTGCATTCTATAATCTAAAGTGCGATTCGTGTATCGGGAAAGAACGTTGAATGTGCAACAACCTAATGAAAATAAAAAATCGAAATTCATTTTAAAAGTTTTTCGGGGGAGGGGGGGACGTACGATATCGAAAGAGCTCCTCTACGCTATTGGCAGGAATCTTCTCGTACGTATCGAACGTGGACAGCATTCAACTTGCTGAAGTGAAACTATAATGCTGTGGTGTCTTTCTTGGTCTCGGAGCGAGGGCATATAAGGTGGGATGCTGTGGCCTCGACTTCATCAGTACCAAACACCAAACACACACGACTCGTCTGCAAAGCCAGCAGGTTCAACTTCTATCGAGATGAGGCTCGCATGGATATATGTAAGTTTTTATTCAATTTTTTTGTTGTTGTGGTTAATATACGTATATATCAATTACATCCACTTACATTGCATCGCAAGTAGTCGATGCACTGACTCGTGTAATGGCACTTGTTGTAAGCCGGGAAAGTATTGATTATCTGTCGAACACTAATTACACATCCCTTGAGAGTTTAAAACAGCTGCTTCTCAAGATGGGGAACCGAACGCGACGTTTTTTATTTTTGAAAGTGGGTACAAACGGAAGTGTAATAATTTTCGCAAACAATATATTTGGATAAACTGAAAAATTTTCTGTTGGATTTACATAATTAACAATTAAATATTATTTGGTATATCTGAGTGAGGTAAAAGGTGGTTATTGTTCTTCTAATCAAAGTTCTGTATACGTGGTGCTTTATTATCGATTGTTTGTGCAATCATGAATTTTTATGGCACTAAAAAAAAAGATAGATTTTTAACGTCTTAAACAGTACGATTACCGTATAACGAGATTATATGAAAAAAATTTTTTTAGAGTAATAATAACTTCCGGAAATTGGTGACCATAATTGCAGTGAAAGTACATATGATTTTCCTTGCCTTCGAAATATGTGTGTAACGTCGGTTGTATGTACGTTCTTTCAGGGATCATTCAGATATTTTGATATGTATTAAAGCAGATGAATATTAAACGAAGTAGTGAAAGTCCTTAAAGGCGGGGGGCTCCCTCCTTATTTTGCGTAAATTTATTTGTGTGTGTTGGATAACGTTCGATTTCATGGAAAATTTACGTAAAGCATGTAAATTGATGATCATGGGCAATTGAACACGTGCGTGGTTCTCATGCAACCCAGGAAAAATGTGTTACGGTAAAATGATAATTGATGATTCCGATCAATCTCAAACGACAAGATTACTTTGCTATCTATTTACTTTACTGACTATCATTACAGCTACTTTACTTTCTTCCATATTTTCATAAATCATATGACTTTGATTGTGCATTTTTATATTTGATTAATGTACCGTGTATGCTAATATTCACGGAGTCATAAGATACACTTGATGTCAAGGTATTAAGGCTGCTTTCTAATTCGTATTTAATAACGTTTCTTCATCCGGAGTATGTACATACAGTACAGCGATAGCCATATTGAATAACGTGTGATAGTTTTAATAACAGGAAGGAAGATTCAGTCCTTTCACGGTTAATGACAGACGTAAATCCTTTTGAAATTTCGATATTAAGTTGACCGATCGGTCATAGCGGGTTCTCAAGAAAGAAAGTGGCGAGACGAAGTTGTGGACGAGTAGAAAACCTGTTTACTGACCGGTATTTGGACTTCACTTTAAACTAACGATATTCAAATTTCTCGGCGTGATTCTCATTTTTTATCGTTATCTATTGCAGTACGTGTGTTCGTATAAGTACTGTTTAAGAGCCTTATATTCATGCCTCATATAGTTAGATCTTGTAATTACTCCTTTTATTATCATTCAAAATTCCATCACTCATCCACGTGTCTTGTGATGGTAATTGAGGCAACAGTCTCGTAAAAAAAAAAAACAAATTTTACGCGTTGAAAGTACCACACTACATTCCCAAGGAGCTGAGTAAGTTTAAAACAAAAAGAATTGTATGACGAGAAGGATGCTGCGAAAGAGTACGGTGAAAGTAAGAATTTCATTAAAGTTATACTGTATATGTCGATGATCACGTTCCGGCACGTCGTTAGACGGGAACTGCGGAAATGCATATATAGATAATGACGCTAATATGCGAGACGTAACGTGAACTTATTTTTTCAGATTGTATCCACTCTCCTGATTATCGCGAGCTGCGAAAAGGAGGAGTCGAAATCAGCATCAAGTAAGAATGAGGATGAGGATCCCAAGGAGAAAGATTTGCAGCGGGAAACGCTAGAAAATATCGACAAGTTTCTAAACACCGTTACCGATCCCGAGGGTAAACTGCCGATCCTGCCACCGATTATTCTTCTGGACTTTACTAACGGTACAAATTCGACGAGTGATGAGAAATCCAAACGAACTGTTAACGGAAACCTGGGTTACGGATACAACACGAACAACCTGTTCTCGGGAAAGTACAACTACTATTTTCCAGCTGGGAAGTCTGGTACGACTGTTAGTATCGAAGAATCCATAACTCCCTTCCAGCCGAAGACAATTGTAGAGAGTGTTAATTTAATTAATGGAAAGATATATGATAACGGCGCTGCTAATGGTTATTCTGGATCATTGAGATATACGGGTTATTCTACGACACCTGCCCCTATCGTCGAACAACTGTTTCTACAGCGGCAGCAACAGCAACTTCAGCACCAACGGCTACTACAGCAGCAGCAATTTATCTCGAACTTGCAGTACCCTATTGTAAAGCCTGTTTATGGACAACGGACGAAGTTGCAGAAAGCTCCTGCTGGGAATTTCAGATCTGCTCAGACTTTCTCAACCACCCCAAATCCATCTTATGCTTCTTACTCGACGCCAAGACCTGGATTTGACTCTTATACCACAACCACGCCAGGCTTCTCTGCGTACACCACGCCGAAACCAAGTTATACCGCATACACTACACCTCAGCCAAGTTTTCATTTGAACTCGCACACGTCCGGATTGAATTTGGCAGGTTATACCACCCCACGACCTCCTTCATACCAGGGGTTCTCAAGCCCCAGGTTATCAGCTTATGTTAATCCTACAATGGCACCGTATAACGTTCAGGGTCTAGGATATTCTACTTCTAGACCCTCATATGAAAGTGTTTCGACCGTTAGACCAACTTATGAGACTGTATCTACTCCGAGACCTGTTGGGCTGAATTCAGCTAATCCCGCAGGATTGAATCTTGTGACTGCATTAACTGGTTATCCAAAGTACACCATTGAGAATGGAGTCAAATACGAACATAAAATAATCTGGAAGTATCCTAATGGCAAAGTATCTGAAAACCCACCGGCATCTTATGGAAATGATTATTTTTCATTCGGTAATGCTAATAAATCGCCCTTAAATGTGGCATATGATAATACCAAACCTGTTTCTGGATATCAAAATGTTCAAGGAGCCACTTATGCAGAAGATTCAATTGCAAACATATACTCTCAGAGTCCTGCTCAGTTTCCCACTGATCAAAATTTGAACTACCCTAAGCAAACTCAATTCGTCTCCTCTGCTTCGTTATCTTCAACTGATTTTGGTTCCGTACCTCAGCAACAAGCTCATAAGTTGAGTTATCAAAACCAAGTTCCAAAAACAAACGGACGGGATGGGTCTGCCCAAAATGTATTTTCATCATCTTCAGAAGTTAGAACGTCCACTTATGATAGATCCAAGCAAGCCTTTGAACCGGAATATAAAGAAGACAAAGTTATTACTACATATTCGGTCAACAGTCCAAATCCTGAATATACGTATACGACAGAGAGTTCACTGAAAGGAGCAGACACAACGAAATCCTCTAACCTTTACACTCCGTCCGGTGAAATCTCGCCAAATATATTATCAAAATACACGCCTCAAGTTCAACGCTATCTGACGAAAGTCTTGAAAAATGGTGTCAGTTCGCAAAATAATAATTATGACAACAGTAACTCACAGACCTATTCGAATCGTCAATATTCTAATCTTCTTAATTATAATCCTTCTATTTCTCAATATATTAGGAATCCCTCTTCAATCTTAAATGCACATCCAACCTTTATTCAGGCTGGCAATTCCTTAATTCCAGTTATTATTTTGCGGGTTGATGGATCAGCCCCTATTGAACCAAAAGTTACCCCAAATATAAATCTAAAGGCGTTACTACGACAGTATCTTACACAATATGCAAATAGCGTTAATGATCTGAATCAAAATAGGAATTATGGAGATAATATTCAAAGTTATGAAAAAAGTGAGGCTGCTGGACAGAGACCCTTATATGATTTGGCGCATTTGACTGAGAGTTTGAGTCAATACTCGGAAGATCCTACATTCGCCAGGACTTTTTCTCAAAAATTTGCGAAGAACATTGCTGAAAATCCACAGAATTTCAATACGCGTACCAATTTGACACCATCGAACTACGATTCTTTGATAAAATCAGGTAGCAATAGAAATACGGGATTCACTAGTACACAGGATAGTCAAATATCAAAACCACAAAAGGTTAAGAGCGTTCAGATTATCGAGGATCCTAGATTTACAAGTTACACAACGCATAGTTAGAGCAGCTTCCTCAACATTTATATATTCGTTTTTTTTTGTTTTTTTTTTTAAGAAACGTCCAATCAAAATTTGGAAGCAATCGATTTTAAAAGGGTACATGCATATGCTAAGCGAGTATTATTGAATTCATCAACAATCAATTACTTCGATTCATTAATAATGTAGTTTTTAAAAAGTGCATTCTATAGACTGGTGAATGTATGCTATGCCGTAAAGGAACAATCTTTAGACATACGTAACTCTTTAGAAATATAATTATTTATCGTGGCATTGTGCAATATATATAAATACATATCTATATCAATGTATACGATACGGATATTTTGAAAAGCATGCGTAAATCACTTGCATTTGTTTTCTTCCGAAAGCTTGATGCATCGTGATTTTCAAAATGATCGTATTTCGATGTAAGGTAATAATTTTGTGGTAAAACGCAACGCCAACCAAATTGTCACACTTCAAAATGGTACCTTAAAAAACGTCGTACGTAAGGGCTTTTGTTGATAAATGAAAACGCAGTATTGTTTAATGTATTTTTAATGAAAAAAATAAAGTAATATTTTTGCAATGAGACACCAACCGGCAATTGATTATCTAGTCCGATTGATAATGATGCGTTCTGTGCAAGACTAATTAATTATTTGTTCGTTTAAAGATGTTTGCGAAACGTCTGATAGAACACAAGCGATGATTATCTTTAATAGACAATTAAATAAAAGTTTAACCAGCGATAATCATTGAGCAAAGTTAATTTTATGTTTTCACGAGCTATTCTCGATGATATCTCGAAATCTACTCAAGGCAATTAGGTACAGAGTATTTAACACAGATCAAATAACACTATCGTAGTATATCAAATTGTGTCGTTATAGCTTATACAGACGAGTATATTTTTCACTGCGTGAATCTGTCTTCACTATGAGGAACGTTTGTATTGTGCATAAAGCGTGCGTTTTAGAGCGCATAAAACTGAAGTAGAAAAAGTACTGACTATAACGCCTTCATACTTTTCTTATTTATAAGTGGAAGCAAGATGACATTATAAACTATTTCCGGATCCAGTCAATTTTCTGGCCAGATGACGAACTCTCTTTCTTTCTCTATTTACAAATATCTATAATTAATTTACTATCCCAAGTATTCATGCATAAATAATTGATCGATTATTCTGTGTACAGTTTTATCGTGCACATCATCTGTACATAGATTGAGCCCGCAAGAAATTACTTATAGAATGTCGTTGCTGGTTTTCCCTTTTTCTTTACTTTAAGTGATTTTTAAAGTGGTAGTGTAATGAGCTTTCCGATCTTGAAGAAGACAAGATTTTCCCAACTGCGGTCGCGTGTCGCGAATGAAAGTACCTTGGTTAAGGCCTGCAGACTATAGGATAATATTTAGAACGATATTTTTCACTTGGTTACCAGAGTGTATAAAGAAAATCGCAAATCTACTATGGGGCTCAGTTCTCGTATGGAGGTTCACTTTGCAGGATCCTACGACCAAACGGGACGAGAAGAAAGAATTTGGAATCAATGTGCACGCGGAATTTAGTGTGATTCGTGATAAAGATAAGAAAGCACATGGTGTCAAGCCTCTTGGAAAATGTATCTCTACCCTGTAAGTGTTATTCCCATTACGTATAACTGTCATGAAAACCTGAAGCTTTTAGTACAACAAAAAGAAAACAAGTAGTAAAGATAGATATAAAACAATTTACAGAGAATCATTATTTGCACTTAGTAACGACTGTAATTAAAAAATCATTCAAATTTGGAATGGTTTCCACGATCATTTTCGTGTTCATGGTTTTCCTTCAACTCTAATCGTTCTGGCATACCTTAAATTCTTTAAGGAGAACTGTGCAATTTGTTAAACAGGAAATGAGTGGCTTTAAAGCATCTATGAAATATATTGCGTATTTATATATTTTCTATAATTTTTATATTCGGACGTGGAATATTGATTTCGTACAGACATCTATAAGTGGATGTGAAAGTTTGTGAAGATTTGGTTCCGCGCACATTGAGTTCTTTCGTGTATTTCACGCAAGTTTGTATATGCGTGAATGTGTTTGCATACTTTCTATTCCTATTCTCATTTTTCCTTAATTTTTCTTTTTTCTTTTGTAGGTCGTCCTCTTTCTCTTAAGTTGGCCGTATGCAAGAGGATCGATTGACCTTGAGGAACAAGATGTTCACTTACAGGATCAGGTCGCTGTCGCTTCACAAGATACGACAAGGACACTGAAAACTGCCAAAAATAGTCACATCAAGGATCCAATATTTTTTGAAGGAAAACAGATTTTGGATTCGACGACTGTTCATTATGAGAATTCTAATGGTTTTATTCCTATAACACCTACGAACCGCCAACGTGAAACTCTGAATTTGAAGAATAAGAATATCACAGAAAAAGACATTGTTGATAGTCTCAATTCAACCTCTGATGGGCAAAACAAAATTCACGATGATCTCGAAAACGATCCCGCCTATTCGACAGAAGCGAGATTTTTCTTAAGCCTGGCACAAAACCTCTGGAATCGCAGATCTTTCGATACCGAAGAAAATCCGGATGAATTTGAATTGCTTAAAGTGAAAAACGACACACCAGCTGTTGCAAATTATCAAGAGTTTTACGAGAAATATCAAACAGATTCCAGTAGGGCCGACGATTTTGATAATAATTCCGGACGCTCATATGTTGCAAACTATGAACGAGATAGAAAACCACCGACTAATATCAGAGATAGAGTCAGGAACATTCAGAATTACATGACCAGCTACACGAGCAACGTACAGCATCCAAGCGGAAATCCATACGATAGATTCTATTCGTATAATAACTTAAAAGACAGTCAGATGAAAGATAATCATCAGCACGAAAAAGTTCATAACAATTACTATGCACAAGATAGTCACGGTTATGGCGATCAAAGAGGAAGTGGTGGCAGCCGGCAAACGGTAGCGCCGATTCCTTTGAAAATAAACTACGACACGACGGAGACAGTAAAAAAGCCGAAATTGTATAGTGTAAGGGAGCCATCGTCCACCGTGAAAAATCGACATAGAAATTCGAAACCAGTAATCGTTGTGGAACCGAGTGATTATAAGATGAACGTTAAGATCGGTAGCCAATCGACAAGAAGTCAAGCATCGGTGGCAGCACCATACAAAACCAGTAGTAGTGCCTCAGATAGTGTACAAGATGACTCCGCCAAGCATTATGCTCACGAGGCTTTATTTAATCGAGACGATGGTCATCACTACGATCGTACAGAGGAGTCAAAAGATTTTTCTGAAGAAAATGCAGAATACTTCGAGATCACCGAGAGACCCAGAAAAGTTCACAAGAGCAGGAGGAGGCCTTACGTTTCGGAAACTTCAAGAAGATTGCCCAAAGAGCATCGTGGAATAACTGAAGAGATATTTGAAGCGGAAGTGCCTAAAAAACGTCCCAATGCTTCTAAATCAAAAGCACATCGTCATAGGCCTAAGTCTAATATTTGGATTGACGAGGATAATCGTTCACAATTGCAAGAGGAAAGTTCTGAGGAGAGAAATTATGACGCTAGAGCGAAAGGAAGGTTTAATGTCGATATTACTGATACAAAATTTCAAAATTCTAAATCGAATGCTGTTAACTCGTGGACTCATCTTACACCGAATCTTGAAATATCTCATTCCAGTGGTATTGAAATTGATCAAATTGAAAAACCAAAACTCATTGTTCCGGTTAAGGTCAACCTCGTGCCGTTGGGTAAATTTGATCACGCTACGGCACTGGGGAACAGTCAGGGATTCGATATATCTAATGCAGTACTACAAAATTTTGTTACTGCCAATCCTGTTATCAATACCGTCACGCCTGTTGTAAATACGCCACAGTCGGTTATTAGTCACAATTTGCCTCCACAGAATACGCAAAAAAATGTGCAAAACGTGCAGAATCACAATTACGTGGTTGGCACACCAGCTTCCGCTGGTTCCCCAGTATCGGATGTAATTGTGGGTCAGAGTTCATTTCATAATCCTATACAGGCAGTCTTGGTACCGGAACAAAATGTTCAATCGAAATATTCTGAAAATTTACGACCTCAATACGTACATAGTACCGTGTCACCGGTATACGCAGTAACATCGAGTGGTCCTTCCAGTTTGCAAAATATTCCAGTGTCGAATTTCCAAAGTTCAGTAACACCACGACCGACATATACTGCCACAGCAAATATAGCATCCAATGTCCAACCAATGGCCGTGAATCAAGCTCAAGGCATTCACGCTGGTCCACATATTGTAATTTCCCAAGCGACACAACAACCCTTTGCTAATTACGCGCAGGCTAATGGTCCATTCCCATTGAATCAAAATATTCAAGTTAATTCGAATGGACTGCACGGTCAGAATTTAATTTCAAACGAGAATAGAAATGCTCAAACTGTGCAAATTGCTTCAACAATTCCGAATCCGCATGTAATTTCGAATATTAATTTATTAACGGCGGAATCGCAAACTAAGAGACAGCAAACTTCTCTTGATGCGAATGGACAATATTTCACTTCCGCTGGTCATTCTGTATCAAATAATGGTCAAAAGCATACAAATGGCTATGAGAATAACGGCAACTTTTACCTTCAATCCAACGTACCAATTATCAAGCCTCAATTGCATGAGAATTTCTATCAATCATTCAGGGACGACAACTTAACTCCTAGAATTAAAACTTACGTTCAGAATGCTCACTTAGCACCTACTCAAGTCCTTCAGCACGCTGGGAATTTGAATAATCTGAATTTCAATAATCCAAACGCGTTCGTGCCCACCGAACAAAATGTTCAGAATTTTCAAAATTTTAATTTCTCGGGACAAAAGAATAGAGATCAGAACCAACAAATTCTTAAAGCAGCGAACGATATTTTTGAGAATACTTTAAAGCAGTTACAGCAATTACAAAAAAGTCAAAATGTAAAGACGAATAGAGCTCCTAATCAAAGTTATCGAACCAATGACAACGTAGGAAGTAATAGCATTCAAAATTCGGCGAATGCGTTTTCGCCAACATCAGGTAATTTTGCAAGAGCTCAGCTACCTAACGTCGGCAGACAGAATGTTGAAATATTAAATCCAAACATAAAACCAAGTCCTATTGACCTAACACTTTTCAATCCATTTGAATCTATTGGTAATTACCCTACACTGTTATCCACACCCATTCCAATTTATAGTACGAGTTTTGCTGTGACCTCAAAGCCTATCTTATCAACAACCGTAGAATCGATCGGCCTGCAAAAGTATGTCGATTCGTTAACTGAAATCGGAGCAAAAGCTAATAGTGCAAAGTTAGATTTGAAAGGTTCAGCATCGCAGAATCACGGCGCGGAACGACCTTTGTTTAATCCAATAAATTTTGTGCCTAATGTCGATTTGATTAAGAATCAAAGACTCTTAAATAGTAAATTAGCGCTTAATGAGCCTTTATTACATAATTTGAACTTAGTACCATTAGTGCCGGGTGGTAATTTTTTCAAAAATTCATTTGGATCACATACTGATCTTTTCAATAAACCAAAATTAACTTCCGATTTGGAAAAATATGCCGAGGAGATGTTTAAAGAATCTTTAAAAACAATTTACAACTCGCAAAAATGGAATAATGATAGGCAGGCTCAGCAGGACAAGAATATAACTGACTCTATAGAAGTTTCGAAATTAAAGAATGAAATGCTTTTCAAAAATTCATTTCCGGATATTAAGCAGAGCAAAGAAATATTGGAAGCGCATTTCTCTGAAAATAAATTACGCGCAGTTGATGTTTCTAAACAGTCTGAACAAAAGAAAAATTTGAATGACGCAAAAAAAACCGAATCTCAAAATGTCGATGTTGACCAGTTGTTCAAAAATGATTTTAAGATTCACTCTCCAGAGTCCAAGGAGCCTATTCATATTTATTATGACAGACCTCAAAACGGACCTAATAGACCCCCAAGTGATTTAGGCCAATCAATTTTCGGAAACGGTAACAGTAATGATTACAGAAACAAAAACTTTCCTAATCACTTTTTGACACCACCAAAACCAAATTCCTTCATTTCTAAAAGTCCTTTTCATGACAAAGTTGTTAAGAAGAGACCCGGTCCAGGGCAGGGTCCAAACCCTTTGCGTTTTAATAATTTCGAAAAAGGAAATTCCCGGCCTATTTCAAGACCGAACGGTCAAAAACCTTTTAATTCTGACGTTGCAGCTAGTAATAATTTGGGAATCCATGTGGAGGGTCCGCGCTTTGAAGCCTTTCAAGGTAGACCACCGTATGAAAGCGATAACGGAAATTTCGAGTCACGTCCAAAACCGTATTCGGATTATTCCCAAAATTCAAAGGATTTTACTACTTACCCCACTTTAACAACTTCTACTCCCGAACTGGAGCACTTTGCATCACCAAATAAGTTGAAAAAATCAAATCATGAAATTTACGACATAAATCATCCCAGAACTCAGAATCTACTTGGTCTGCTCATGAAGAACAAGCAGTTGCCAAGTGGAAATTCAGAAAATTACTTTCGGGATAGAGATGAATTAAAACACTATTTTGAGAACGAGAAGCGTCGATTACAGCTTCAATTTTACGATGATTCGTTAAAAAATTTCCAGAAGAAATCAGACAAGAGCGAGGCTGCGCTGAAAGCGAAATTACCTAACAACGAACGTAAGAATTCGTGAACGTTTAATGGGCGGAATTACAAATATGGCAAAATACAGCATAATCATGCAAATAAACAAATTTCTATCTTTAAATTATAAAATAGTATTATATAATACGCGATATAGTAACATAAGTAGAGTTAACGAGTTCATTATGAACCTATGACTGAAAAATTTGTAAGAGCTATATTGTATAACGTCGATTTGTGTACATAATAAATTAGAAATACAGGCTTTGTGAATTATTTCGAGTCAATGTGATTTCTTATTCTGCCAAATGCCCTCGAGTCTATGAATATTTGTTCATCGTTGAAGGTAACGGAAGAAAGGAATACGAAGACGTTGTGTAAATTTAAATTCGATAAACTAAAGCTAATTTTCATTTACCAAGGACCTTTGCAAGATTCCGAAATAATTTTCGATATTTTCGTGCGCTCCTTCACTATATAAATCAATCCGTCAAATGTAACTCGTTTCACTTTACCACGACGTTATATCTATCAACCTATCCCTCTATATAACAAGTAATACAAAAAGGTAAATTGCACAATTTGCAAAGATTTCATAAGAGAAGATAACAAGCAAGAAACTAGAGAAATTTTCTTTTCTTCCACGTAACTTGTCGCATCATTATATTGTACGTTCCGACTCCAAATGTTGCTAGAAAAATTCGGCACGTCGTAGAAAATTTTTTAATTCATTAAGTGATGACATGAAAATACAAAAATAGTTTATGAAAAAAATTTTAATTCTCCAGGTTAACGTAATCTTCATGGGTACTGCGCACTTGAGAAAAGTTTTTAAAATGCCATTCTTTAGTAAAATTCATGTGTTCCGGATGGTTGGCTTCTCTAGTTTGAGCGTATTGCCCACGTTTCGCAAGCGTTCCAGTCTTGCATTATCAGGGCTAAGGAGCTCCGATACTGGAATTCCCTATTTTTTCAGGAAGTCCTTAAATACTGGTATTCGTTGTTCCGGAATACTGGAACAACTGACCTGAGATATTAATTGACCAGCTGTTATATGTATATTATATGTGTGCTTATATATTATATAATAGAGAGCTTCAGTATCGGAGCTCCCTCAGCCCTGATGATGCAGACTGAAACGTTTGTGAAACGTCAGCAATACGCTGAAACTAGACGAGGCAACCATCCGGAACCCATGAATTTTACTTATGATTTTGACCGCAAAAGTCTCAAAACTGAAGCCATTCTCTATTCAGGTCAATGTTACAGTTTGTAATGTGGAGTTACAAGCTGGAGGGTGTTCTGCTTAGGAATAATCGAAAAATGAATGAACAGGACGAAGAGTGGGTTCGTTGATACAGTGGTTAGTACCCTGACTTGGCAGTCTGTAGGTGTCGAGTTCTATTTCCGATTAGAACTTTTAACTTTTTGGAACTTCCATCGAGCACTTCCTGCCGGCACGAATTACAAATAAATTACAACCAGAGCGTCCAATCAACCCCTCATAACTTATCGAGTAATTTCTGTGAAGGTGTAGGTGAATTCCGACAAGTTTACTTGTTTTTGCATTGGCTAAGCACGACTAATTCTTAGTTCCTTGAACCATTACTCTCCTCGAATTTTTTGTTCACGATCAATCGATCACACAGTGTTTTTGCTGAGATTGTCAAGTTCCTCGAATAACTAATTTATAAGTAAAATATGTGAAAAGGAACTACTAACATTTCTCGTTGGTGAAAGTTGGTCGATTGATTTTTCAAGATCCTTTATTCCCCTTCGAAATAATTCATTCTATGTTGTATGATCAAAGTATGGAGAAATCTAAAAAATTCTTGTATAAAAGTCAAATGTACTCCCTGGGATCCCCACGGGGAAACTCTTTGCAAAAAAATCAGTATTTATGAAATGACTCTCTGTGATACCGTTATGTCGCCGAAAGATGTTCCTAAACTTTTCATGTTTTTAGATTCAACAGTAGTTACCTCAAACTACAAAAAGAAAAATTAAGAATAACAAAATGGACAATTGTGACGCGTCGGTAAAATACAACATCATGAACACCAGTTTCCATTGTTCTTCTTTCTTGATATACATTTAATTCTTTCTGTACTCATTGGAAATAAGAATTTTTTAACACTACAATATTTAATTTTCGAATTACGTACTTTGCAAGTTAAAAGTCTTTATTTCATATGCGTACAAATTTAACGCGACATCTTACAGGATCTTGATTGATCTCGAATTACGTCGATATAGGGTGACTTCACAAGAGAATGGAAATGCCCCAGTAAATGGTTTTGTTAACGTAAATTATATCTATAATATACATATAAAGATTTTAGCACGTGCGTCTATTCACACGATGTTTCGCTAAAAAAATAAACAATCAATTAGATTTTCCGCCTCTGGCACACCATTCTATCAACAATAGGAATCCATAGATTCCATAGCGATGGATTGGTTAATGACGACAGAGAAAAATGGTCACAACCGCTAAAATTTCCATTCACCGTAAAACTCCCAGATACCATTGGCGATATCTTTCGGAACAAAAAACTTAATACAAAAGCGTTTGGCTATTCTCGATAATTCCCATAGAAAACTAACCATCTCAAATTTATTCAAACGTGTTTAACATTTCTACAAAAAGTCTCCAATTGCTTATAATCCGTCCACATTTTTTAAATCATCCGTTCATCAAATGAGTATACATATATCTGCTACTTATAAAAAAAGAACTTTTCTTCTCAGAAGATAATGACAAAAGGTAAACGTCAAAACGGGAAAGCTGCAACTTGCTACTCCAACGTCCTTCTGCCACTGTGGTCGTGTCTGATGCCACTTCATGCCACATCTATCAGCGAGAGGCGAAGAGATTTACTGCGGTATTTCTTAGCGCTTTTTGTCACTTTTAGGAAAGTCTTGTTCTTTCCATTGTCTGGCATCAGTTGACCAGGAATATAAAAGAGCACGAGGTATCGATACCTGGCAGTGAGAATCGATCTCTGGGATTTATACGTTCTACCAAATGGATACTATGATGGTACGTTAGTTTGGAGTTTATTAAATAATTTTAAAAATTCAACGGCAATCGAGGAGACATTAATGATCAATGTCACTGCGTCATATTAAATGAGCTCAGTTTTTGGAATTGTGATTATTCAGTTAAAGTGATGGTAATAATATAGTTTGAAGACATTGATATAACCTGTGATAATTCATTGTGACAACTGTATTCTTGTAATAAACCAATAATTAATGTCTTGATCTAATGGTTGTTCATATTTTATTATTATAATATTATTTTCTATCGTTGCTTCTTATTGATTACCGTAATTTCATTTAACAATAAGTACGTTCTTTCATATCGTATGGTAATGATCGATTTATTATATTTTGTTTGCAGATATTTCACACGACACTGTTGTTAGTTGTTGCGACGTCAATACTTGGTGCGTCGACTTCTACGACGACGACAACTACATTAGCACCGTCTACAGTTCCTGCATCAGGAAAAACAAAACGTGGCATTGCAGGACTTGGAACTAATATCTTTGCCAATCACGGTGTGCTCCATGTTAGACAATATAATCCCGAAGTAGCGAGTTCACTAACGGTCCATGATGGTACATCTTCGTCTCATCCAAGTCCTGGATCACACTCTGGTTATAATGGCGCAAGAGTAGCGACGCAAAGCAGTCCTCAAAGCAATCAAAATTACGCAACGACCACTCAATCTCAAAACAGTCGATCATCGAACCAAAATTCTGGTTACAATCCTCAGAGGCAAAGTTCTGGTTATACCAATGCCAATTATGGGTCAATCCCTCAGAACGTTTACTATTCTGTCCCTGCTCAGAATGGCAATCCATCATCTCCATCGTCCTACAGTGCATATACAGCATCTCCGAATACTCAACAAGGTCAAAGTCAGCAAAATAGCTACGGACAGGATAGCCCCATTAGCACACCGTATTTTGCGAGTTATTCAAATTCTCCAACTATCTTGAAGATCGTCGCCGAGAACTCGAGGCCCTTGACCCAGTTAAAGAGCGGTCTCGTTCAGAGCCCAGTGTCTCAGGCGACCATTCCGAAGATTCAAGGTCAGGCAGTTTACGCTCCTAATCATCAGAACTCCTTCACGTACGATAAACAACTAGGAGCTTATTCGAATAACAATGTTGGAAGTTATCCTAGTTATTCGGAACTAGGTCAAACCTCGTTCTATGGTAATCAGAATTCACCAACTTCTAATTCTCAACAAGTTGTGCAGACTCCGATTTACAAGAATAGTCAAACCGCTCCAAGAAATCCTGAATATTCTCAGATATATGCTCCTCATCATCAGAGCGCTACTCAATTTACTCCGATTATTGGAAACTATGAAAAGCTGGTTCAAAATCCAGCACCATATAATAATGTTCCAACTATTAATTTCAATGGCAAGAAAGTACCACTTCCGGTTATTCAGCTGCAGAGCTCTCAAGATTTTCCAGGATTCGCTGAAGCCATTGAAAGTCAGCCATTGCTCTTGGGTTCAGGAATCGATTACCAGGCCCAACCGAATTTGGCGTTCGACTTTAATTTCGGTAGTAAAACGGTACCTCAAGCTGCTACTAATCCATTGCCTTTCTTAGCACCAGCTGGAGCTTACACTGGTCGATCCCAAGTTCAACCTGTTCAAAGTGCTAGCAGTACTCCTCAGATTCCTCAGTATCAAGGGGCTAGTATCGATAGTTTTCCTAAATATAATACTGGTAAACCAGCTGCTACTTATGAGGCCTTGAAATCTCAACCCCAACTTCAATTTAATCCAAAACCTGCTCAGCCTGCTAATACTCATCACTCCGTTACTCACCATTCGAAGCCTTTCGAAGAAAGTCGTGAGGATGTTGAAGTCATTAATAAGAAAAAACCAGCACCACCGCCAGAGCACGACGATGAAGAACTTGATGAAGGTTCTTAATTATTTCTTTTACCATTTTTATATATTCTTATGTACCAAAATAGAAAGTAATTTTTATTTGAATCTTTAGGATACAGGGGAATTGAAAGGGAGTATAGAAATCCCAGTGACGAGGATGACGAACCCCGTCATGGCAGATACTTTAAGGAATCAGAATCAGAAGGCGACTTCAAACCGTCCAGATCCTTCCCATACAAATCTTATGACGAAAAGTTCGGAAAATACTCCAAATCTACATCTGATGATGATTCAGAATATAGACCCGTGAAAAAGTACAGACACCAGCCTCTCGAAGACAATGATGATCATGATAGTCGTTCCACGAGATATAACGCGGATTACAGCCTTCCGAAATCACGTCGTCATAGATATGAGGATGAAGATGAAGAAGAAAGTCGAAGAAACGAAAGACGCGAAGAGCCTGAAGAGGAAGATGACCGCGGCAGTTCTCCGAAAGCTTATAGTAATTTCGGGGAAGAGTTAGAGCGGGAATTTGAAGAGTCATATAAAAAAGAGCTACCTAAAAACAGTAAATAAATAAGAACGGAATATTATACCTCTTTACGTATATCATATAAAAATTACATTTTAATTCTTCATTGCAGGATACGTACACGAAAAGGAAGTTCCTGAAATAGATGAAGCTTCATACACGTCCAACAGTTACTCACGCCAAAACGCTCCAAAATCATCAAGAAATTCACATAAGGGACAGGGTCAACACCAGGCCAGTCATGATGAATCTGAAGACAGTAAGGAATACGGAAGTCATTCCAGTCACAAATACCGGAAGGCTCCAAAAGGTCACAGGGACAGTGAAGGTTATGGTTCCAGTAGTTATTACAAAAGAGCACCTAAGGTAGTCCATGAAGAATCATTTGGTTACAAAAAGCCAGATGGTGAATCATACTCAAAATACGTCAAAGGTCCCGATGGTACTGAGAGGTACTCAAAAGTAAAGAAAGGTCCTAAAGAGGACTCTTACGTCCATGCAGCGCGTAGTTCGCATAAAAATAATACACCGAAAAAGGGCGACGCTGCGTCCTATCAGAACGGCGATTCCTACTCGTATTCTAAAGGAAGTAGCTGGAAATCCGATAAGAATGCACCGGATGCCTCCGCTGATTCACACGGATATTACAGCGGCATTACGAAAACTTTGGCTCAACCCGATTCGAAATCCAGTTTTCACGCCCCCAGTATAAATCGGGGCAAATTCCGCTACTCAAGGAGCGAAACAATCGTTCGAGATCTGACGGGGATTTAATGGGTATGGAATACTATCGATAAACAATTGCGACCTAAAACAAACTGTTAATTGTAGCTACGAAGGTGGTGATAAGCCCGATCAGAATGAAGTAATTATTGCTAAGTTAAATTTAAGATAATATGGGAATAGTTATATAAATTGAAGGGATCTTACGCATTTTGCTCAAAATAGAATAGCGAGTATATTTAATTTTATTACTGTTTTTTATATGCATATGTTGATTTTACATTTTATTTAATTATTCAGCAAATTCAAACGAATTGCACAGACCTATGAGCTCGATTGAAAAAAAATTGAACTGCAATTTCCTAGCTTTAAACGATGTATGGTACAGTATTATGTCCATTGTTATTTAATTAATATTTACTTTCTATATTTGTTAAGTTTTCACTGTTATCCTTCTTTTGTATTATATATTATATCAATTTTTAAATAAATATTTTTTACGAATTATGAAATAACGTGAAACTATTTATCATTCATACAAAAAATAATTTTTATTCATAACGTATTACTGTACTTATTATTTTATGCTTTGAAAACAGGAAGCGTTAATTTGAAAACGTTCATCCTAGATGAATTTTCTACATTCCAAGATAAGATTCCAATCTTCGTTCATTGGCTAGTGTCTCGTAAGTGGATTGAAGAGATTGTGCTTGAGAGCCATCGCCCAATCGTCATTAGACGAACAACACCTATAATTTTGTCCACGATACGCGTGATTTTTCAAAACTTTTAATAGTTTTAATTAATCTTGTGATTATCTAGACAACGAAGAGGCCTTCTTCCGTGTTTTGCAACGTATAAAAGCACTGAAGCAATATGGTGGAAGCATCAGTACCATCACCAAGATTCCAGTAAGATGAAGACTGTTTCTATGGTATAACACAGCTACAAAGTCTACTAGTAAACTCTATATATCCTTTACAAAAGTTCTCTCCTTTTGATTATTCCGATTAATTTAATTTCAGCTTATTCTGAGCTTTTCTTTGGCCGCGGCCATGGACTCAAAAACGACTTTATTGGATTCGACGAAAAAAGGGAAAAGGGGTGTAGCACTATTCGGACCAGCAGCATATGACGTTTTTGGAGTTGTACCAGCTTTTGCGCCTACCGGATGGTCACCAACAAGTTTTGGAAATGGAGGGTGGAATGTTCCAGGCGTTGATCTTGCTTTGGGACAAGTTCAGTTGCAAGCAACTCATAATATCGCTCTTCAGGTAAGAGAGTCTTTCTATATCAGTATTTATTAAGTAGGCTTTAATCATTTACAGTTAAATTTTTTGTCGAAAAGGCTCTGAAGGATCCACATCCTGGAACGCCCAGTATTGCGTATTCTCCTGAAGTGGTACGAGCTATTCAGGAAGCGAAGGATGCGAATCACAATGTGCTCCTGGCGCAGCACAGGGTTGCTGAAGCAAAGCAGACGGCTCATCTTCAGCAAAAAATTGCACTCGCTAAAGAAGCAGCTGCAAGAGAAGCTACTCATAGGTATTATCGATTTATTCGTCACTGGTATTATGTTATAATCATTACATCCTATGTTGTGAAGGTCTGAGGAGATTTCGGCAAATGCTCAAGCCGAAGCAAGAGCCAGTGCTAAGCAGTTGGTAGCTCTTCAGCAAAGATTGGCAACCTTGAAGGATGCTGTTGCTGCTGCACAGAGGGTGGCTGCAGCTAGAGAGACTGCTGCAGCTGCGGCTATTCAGAGATCAGCTTCGGAAACAGCCGCAGAATTACGAAAACAGGACGTAGACAAGCAGATTAATCAAAGCGAAGAAGAAGCAAAGGTAAATTATAAAATGATATAGTCATAAAGCTATATTTAAAATATTAATAATACAGTATCCGGCTACAATTATATTTTAACAATTTTAGGCAAAAGATATAGTAGCGGCAAAGGAAAACGCGATTGCTAACGCCCTGCAGCATCCAGCTGTAGAAAAACCATCGTATCATCCATGGGGTTAACTACGTAACGTCATCGTCGTATAAAGCTCAAAATATTCATTTGTTATGAAACACATAAAAAACAATCACACATAACCATATCATACGGTGTTGGATCGTTAAAGGGCATTTATGTAATAATACTCTAGTTTTTATTTGTTACCAATAAACCATAATTTGCATATATCGTGTACCTTATTTTAAAGACAAATTAGTGTCATTAAAAACTATCATCTGCTACTGGTGATTCAATAATTTTATACAATTTTCTATTACATCAAAGACTATTCAAGTTTTAAAATCCATATAATTGGTGTCTAGACTTCGTCAAAACAGAATCTCTCGGTTTCTTAGAGATTCAATTAAAGAAAAGCGTTGAGAGGGCAGACAATGACATTGCCCGAACCGAGAGCAGCGGGTAATGCCAGTGAAAGTGATCAGTATACCGTTCCATTGCACGGTACAGTTGGTAAGGAAGGTAAGGTCAGTGTCCAGTTACGTGAAACATATCGTTCGACTAGCATCCTGTATCTAAGAAATCTTTAGAGTTCAGATTTTTCAATAGTGTTCAACCAATCGTTATCCTCAAGCCGATACTATCTAAGCCTTTTACTGCTATTCAAGACAGTTTTGCCTGATTTTAATCGAAAATAGGAAAACGAGGTCAATGTTTTACTTAAGTTTGACTCGTGGATGAAAGTAAATTCGAGCTGTTAACTTTCAACGTTTATGGCAGAATATAAATCAGATGTATCATCTCGCCGGATAAATTGGAGATGAAAATATAATAATTTTTTAGAAACACTAAATAGTAACGAATGGAGAGTAGTCACGCGGTTACAAAATTCAATATCAGAGATGAATTTTAATCTAAGTTTTGAGCAGGTGTATGTTGATTATTGTAAACATGAAAAATTACAAGAAGTCGCTTTATTTGGTCGCTTGTGGCAACTTTAATCTCAATAAACACAACTAAGGAGGTGCATGGTAGTTATAATCGTCGAGGTCTCCTCCTTTCACGCTGGACCGGATGGTACTTTCATCTTTCTGTTTTTTGGTTTTTTTCTTTACCTTCTCTACTAGTGCTATTTTTATTTATTTTCCTTTCATTTTGTGTCTGTGTGTAAGTTACTCTCACTGAATCCGCTTCAGGTGGTCAATTCATCTTTGGGCAGAAAGCATTGCAAGCTAAGAATTTAGGTATAAGAGATATTCAGAAAAGCGAGGATTGAAATAATATCATTAGAATAAAATAGGTCAAATAAGAAAGCATAGAAAATCAAAATGTAGTTATGAATATTCACTGTTCAAAAGTCTTCCGGCCTATGGCGATTGTCTCATCGATACTTCCTGTAGGAATCAATAGAGCATGGAACATATACTCTGGATATAAATCTCGATTATTTCCAATATTCCTAGAGTATTGTGGGCTGCGAAATAAGTTTGCCGAGTGTTTTTGTTATATTTCACTATGGAGGTATCGGTGTGTCGCAAAAAAAAACGATTAAAAGAAACACACTTTCATTGGTGTAGTTGCGTTCAGCTCCGAAGAAAGCCCAACCGAAAGAATAGATTGGGCGTTCACCAAGATTACATTCTACACCTTCACGAGTCGAAAGGAGTCTTTCGATTTCGCGAAAGCAATCATGGGAATGGATTTCAACTGCAGGTCAGAAAATTATCAAACCAGCGTCTAAAATTACGTATGCGTATTCAAGTCCGTTTTAAGTTACTGCGTGCGTTTACGCATGTTTTAGGACCGTTTTGCGAATCGGATATACACGCAGGTCCGGTTTCCAAGACGGCCGAACCCCGTTGCAGGAGGGGAGAAAGTGATACCTATAAAAACGAACGGTCCATTGGTAGCAACGCGTAGTGTCCCATTGGATCTCCAGCGATTTGATATTATATTAAAGGAATTTGGAAAAATGTTTTTGCCAGTAAGTTAAATTATCATATGGTGTTATATCGGTGATTTACTCTAGAAAGCTGTACGATGTCTTTCAAACCTTTTTATGCTCGGCGGATACCGGCGAAAGGGAATAATCTGCGTAACACTAGATCCGAACTGAACTACATTCACTGGGACTTTTTCCGTTCCTTTTTCTAAAAGCACAGTTTTTAGATAGACTTTTATTAGTTCTTTGTCATAGAGGCACAAATCGATCGATCGCATGAGGCTCGTATTAGAGTACGTATACCAAAGTAACGTTTGTCATATTGGAAAGGATGACTATACTCTTGCGCTATATTTGTGAGGCGTGTTGATGAACCAAATTTCTTACATTTAATCATTGATTGCGCATAATTCCGTAGACCGACATTTCGGGTCTTGAATTTTGACTTGAAATTGCCCTCGTCATTTACTGTTTACAATTTTATATAAATAACGACAAAAATAAAATTTGTTTGCAGGAGAAAGATAAGAGAAAATTGTAGCAACGGCATACGTTTTTCATACATGTTTCTAATTCCAGATCATTACAATTTTTTTACTGGCTAAAACCACCTTAGCTAGTGACATAGAAAACAATGGCGGTTGGCAAGCGTAAGTTAATGAATAATTACTTAACGACATCGTTCATTATTTACAATTAATTAGTAACAAATAATTCTTCATCTGATTATTTAGAGTATCTGGACCTAGCGCATATGGATCAAGTCACGACTTAGGCGCGTCAGGCGGTAACATCCAAAGTTCGTACGGTCAGCAAAGTGGAGGTTTATACAGTTCATACGACTCGTACGGCTCATCAAGTGGATATGGACATTCCGGATATGATGGTGGATTGGGCGGTGGTCACGTTCAGCATCATTACGCACAGGCAATACCAATCAGTCAGCATATCGAAGTCACGAAACCAGTGGTTGTCCCAGTTTACAAAGATATCGGTAAGAAGTGGTGCATTAGTCAATTTGAACTTCTCTTAATCGTTTCAGTACCCTACTAATTGTACTCTTGATTGTTCTTCGTACTAGGTGTTCCGGTAGCGCAACCAGTAGCAATAGCTGTACCTCATCCAGTCGCTGTTGGCGTAGCACAACCTTATCCAGTTCATATACCGGTCGCCCACCCGGTAGCGATTCCGGTGGTTAAGACAGTTGCTGTACCGGTTGAGAAGAAGGTGCCGTATCCAGTGGAGAAAATCATTCCTGTACCTGTTGAAAAGCACATACCGATCACAATCGAGAAGCACATACCTGTACCTGTTGAAAAACCATATCCTATTCACATTCCAGTTTACAAGCACGTTTTTCATCGTGCTAAAAGTTACGGGTGGTCCCATTAGTACGAAGGTTATTTTTTGTCAAACCTCTGTGTCCTCTCATACTTCTGAATATCAGTCGTTTTCATGTGCACTTATCAAATTCTTGATGAAACGTGTGCATTGATATCATGCGAGCTTGTCGAAAGTTCCACTTACATTTTGAGAGGATATATTAGGGTACTGCCATAAACCGTTAATGGTGTCGTGGAAGATTGCAGCTTTTACGTGTATTAAGTTATGAAGCGCAAGCGTCGTGCTTGCGCGGTTACTTGTTGTGTATATATACATTGTTGTATTGTATTTCTGTACGAAATAAATGTTCACTTTTAAGAAAAATTCGTCGAGTGTTTACCTTTGTTATGTATTTCGACTCTGTTTGAGAAAGTGATGTTAAACGTAAAGAAATCAACCAATCAGTATGTAGTACTGTCCCCTCGGAGGGGGGAGGGGGGACGTTATTTTGTGCGTGAAGGGCTTAATGATTGGTCCATTACTAAATTTTATTACAATGATTTTTTTTATTATTGATGATGAGAGTTTGTTATTTAATTACTATAATTATCTGATTGCTAATTAAAAGATAACGGAGATCGCCGGTAGTGGCCTTAAGAGGGTTTCGTTATGCTCTCTTCACATGGTGTACTAAATACCATCGTGCGTGGGTATAGTACTCGGCTACCATATTTACTACTGGATGACTACCGAGTGTCACTTGTACATTTTGTTAGTGATAGAATCTAAGTATAACAATTTTAATAGCACGTTAGACAGCGACCAACAATTACACAATTAACGTCATCTCATAAATTATTTTGCATCGACAAATAGTGCGCTATACGCTTTTCACTTGTATAAGCCAATGATGTATACGACGTACCAAACTGTTTCTCGAAAATCCAAATATGTTTATAATACATATAGAAATTAATTACCCTGAAGGATAGTCAGCTCGTTAAATTCAGTTTCTCGTGGGACCAATTAATCGAGAGAATCTAAATGGGTTTATTGCTAAATGAAGTTCTGAACCATAAAGTCATTCCATAATATAATTATTAAGTTTGTGAGATAACAGTCTTCAGAGGAATGTATGTATTCAAACAATAGAACATGACGAACGTGTAAAACTGAACGAATAGGGGTTACAAAAATTGTCCAGTTCTCCAATGCGAAAGAAGGATAAGGGACGGGTCTAAATTTATTAAGCTAAACACTCACTTGAACTGGAAGAAGAAATGTCATTCGCAATATTCATAGAGTGCACGAGCGAAATGGACATTTATTATCAAAACAGAGTATGTCGAACGAATGGGAAAGTATTGAACTCTCTGTAACGCGATTTTCGTATTATATCCGCTGACTAAGTCAGTTCCGTGGCAGTGAAAGGCTGCCCGGTATATTAAGACGAGAAATGCTCGAAGATGTATCAGTCGTAGAAGCTACTTCTTCTACTAACAACATCCCCGGTGTACAGCCCAAAACCCACGTGCTTAGCCATGAACAGAATCGTGAGTAATCGTAAGGAAATACGTGCAGGAGATTTGATAAGGATTATCATAACAAACGGATACATCAACGCTCTTCAAATTATTGCACTATAATATTTGCCATTGTAAACTCAAGAAAATTATTCTTGTCGAAATTTAATAACTCCCAAAAATCATAAAAACGAGAATCTTTTTACAGCTAATAATTATTTCTAATTTTTTAACGGAACAACGGTTCAAAGTTTTATTATAATATAATCAGACTTAATCCATTGTGCAGGTACTACTTTCTCTGCTATCCCTGGCAGTGGCTGCACCAAATCCGTATATCTTCAACCAATATGGAGGTCAGGATCTCATGCATCAATTCACTGAGCAAGTCAAGAGGTCTGACCATGAACAGCTGAATGCTGGAGGTTCTGAGGGAGGTTACGGTGTAGAAAATTATGGAGGATATGACGGTTCATCTGGTCACCTGGAATCTGCTGGTGGTTACGATGCAGGTCATTCCGGAGGTCAAAGCTTCCACGGCTTTGGTGATGGAGGTCAACAGAATTATGCTGCCTTTGGAGGCTTCTCCGGAGGTCATAGCGGTGATGATGGCGGTCACGGAGGTGCTGGCATCTCTCTCGATTCCGGTCATAGCTACGTTCACAGTGTTCCTGTTTCCGAACACGTGGAGGTTACCAAGCCTGTGGTTGTTCCCGTTTACAAGGAAATTGGTAAGATGCTTGATCACGAAGTTAACGAAGTGAAACAAAAAATATTATCCGCAGTAACTGTTTTCTCGATCGTTAAACTGATTTTTCTTCTCGTAGGTGTTCCAGTTCCTCATGCGGTGAAGATCAACGTTCCACACCCTGTGGCCGTAGGTGTTCCCCAGCCTTACCCTGTTGCTGTGCCAGTAGCTCAACCCGTGCCGATTCAGATCATTAAGACCGTTGCTGTACCCGTCGAGAAGAAGGTGCCTTATCCTGTTGAGAAGCACATTCCGGTACCTGTGGAAAAGCACGTGCCCATCAAGATTGAAAAGCACATACCTGTTCCTGTCATTAAGCCTTATCCCATTAGAATTCCTGTCTACAAAACCATCTACCATCACGCTAAGAGCAGTCATTAAACTGCAAGGGTCAGGATCTTATTTTTAGTCGAAGTTGAACGTCGGCCACATCATCGGGGAATATGACTTCAAATTCATGCAGTTCCTTGCTTTGGGATACCCGAGAAAGTCAATGGAACCCCATCGATATCTGTTCTGGTTGTTAAGTTTTCTATGTGCTGTTGTTTTGTATATATTATGTTACGCTATGAGATTGTTGTTCAGTTTTTTATACACAGTTTTTAAATAAAATTTATACAAAATATACTTACCGCATTCTTAGTTTTAGGTGAAAGTTTCTGAGTTTCTCGTGAAATTCACTTCTTTTGTTAGTCGTGAAGCTTATGCGTGAAAAATACTCATGTTACGTTTTCTTCTATTGCTTTTCAATATAAAAAGAATTATCATGATGCTTTAACTTAAAATGATTAATTATAATCAAGATGAATCATAATCGTTTAATCGTATATAACAAAAAAGATAAATGTCAACGGAGCATGACGATGATCTAGAAATGTTGGCTAAAGTTCAAGGCTTATGTGCTATTGTAACTTTCACTTAATTTCCTCTTTTTCACGCAATTTTCAGATAATAACGTGAAAAGTGGATACCAAAGATATTGTTATGAGAAAATGATCAAAAAGCAATTAAACGCTTTTGATGTGACAAATTTAAGATTTAATTATTGGTATTTCGAAAATAGAAGTACATATTATGAGTGAAGTCATTCCTTGTATTTAAGTATTACAAAAATGGCAACCTAACTCTAGAGTAGCTGAAGGTAACTCGATTCAAAATCAAAAACTTAATGTAGATCTACAAGTATTAAAAACGCGAATGCATCGGGGCCTCATAAAGATGAACCATTTTGATAATTATTCATGTACTTGAATAAATAATAAGATGTATGATGATTTTATAGGAATTAATATAATATGCGTGTTATATCTAATTTCCATAATAATTCTAAACCTGTGTTATATGTTATAGTGTGTAAAGTCAAGTCCAGTGAGATTTCATGCAACCTATATATCGTTAAAATGAAAGTAAAGATTATGATTGGAACTAGATATATTTAAATAATAGAATGAGAGTCATCTTCAAATAAAAAACCCATAAAAAGTTAGTGCATGAAAGTGTTTTCAGAAATTGGCTTTCTTTGAAAATATAATTAACTGAAACGATGTAATCTGTAATTGTTGAGATAAATTCCGTTCTATCATTACAGAGTGCCTTTCACATTCACTCCAAGATGTCATACAAAAATGGCGTGTAATTACTCATACTTTCGTGGTTTCCTCTTCTCTCAATGTCAACAAAGATCAAGGTAGCAAACTCGATAGTCGTTAAACATAAAATAATACAAAATCTTGATAGAAAAATTATTATAAATAGTAACAGTAAAAGCATATTTGAAAATCAATACATGGTATATATTTGTATATTGAATCTCCATTAATTCGCTCATTCGTTAGTTCACACAAGCATGATGAAGTAAGTTGGTGTGACAAGATTGCCAAATGCAATTCAAGTTTAATAATTGTTAGTTATCATAAGAAAATGCGGGTTTTGTTATGAATAATATGTATTTGAGTAATAAAACGTCAAAGTGTACCAGTGATTATTTTGAATAGTCTCCAGGCAAAAATTGAATAAAAGTCACAGGTTTTAAGGAACGAAAGGCGGAAGTGAATTAAGATTATGAATTCGAATTACATAAGGTTCACGATAGCACCACCATACCAATAAGAAGTACGTAAACGAACCGGCATCGCACAGTGAAGGGATTGCCTACTATTTTACGAAATAGTGGGGTTGCTTCTATTTCATGCACAAGGTATATAAGTCACCAGTGTGACAATTGACTTCAAGTTGACGTAAACTTCTCACATAGTCTTGAGGGACTCATAGCCACCTCATAAAAAACCATGATCAGAATCGTACGTAAAAAAAGTAATTCAGCAATAAGAAGCATATATATAAATAAGAATCAGCATTTTAGAAATTATTGCACAAAACATAATGTTAAGCTTTATTACTGAACGATTGATAGGAACATCACGTCAGTCTGAGTAAAAAATGATGTATTTGTCCAAGGTATTAATTCTGGGGGTAGTCGGTTATTGTTGGGCATCCGGATGGGACTTGGGTGGACATGGAGGAGGTGGTTTGACCTTGGGTGGACATGGAGGAGGTGGTTTGACCTTGGGTGGACATGGAGAAGGTGGTTTGACCTTGGGTGAAATTTCAATTGGCGGTCATGGTCACGAGTTAACAGCGATCAGCTTTGGACATTCCGGTTTGAAATTTTAAACATGAATAATTGAATCTGAGTATACCATATTTGCGTATGATTTGACTAGAATAGAAAATTATTATTATGATTGTTTAGATATCTTGGGTGGACACAGTGGATTTGGAGGTCATGGCATCGCCTTGGGTGGACATGGTGGTTGGGATTCAGATATTAGTATCGGTCAAGTTCATGGAGGTCATCGGGTCAACGTTATTCCAGTGGTGAAAGAAATAGGTAATATACTTTTTATAAAAATACTGATATTGTAGTAGATCGTATGAAAGCTTATGGATCTTATGTGTTTCTTTCATTAGGTGTCCCTGTCGTGAAGGAAGTTGAGATCAAAATTCCACATCCGGTTGTGCAGACTGTTCCACAACCATATCCAGTGGCAGTTCCTGTTTCACAGCCAGTTCCTTACGAGGTAAGGCTTACTTGATTACCACTGACACATAATACTGTTTACAACCGGTATTATTTGAGATTAATCGATTATATATTATAACTTTCAGGTGATCAAGACGGTATTCAAAAAGGTGGAAAAGAAGGTACCAACCCCTGTTGAGAAAATCATACCCTTCAAAGTCGAGAAACCTGTGCCGTTCAAGGTTTACAAGCATATTCCAGTTCCTGTTGAAAAGCGAATACCTATTAAGATTCCGGTTTATAAGACAATTTTTCACAGTAGCAAAGGTCATTAGGGATCCTCTACCCACATCAACAAATTACATTTACAATTTTCGATGGTTTACACTTAGCCGAAGTTCTAATTATGTATTTTATTTTATTTTAATAATATTTGACAGACGGGAAACAATAATTGTCGACTATATAAAGTTATTTGTTGGTACGTAGAGATTCGATGATTGTTTTCAGTTAAAATAGCTGCATTCAATTGTAATTTTTCATACTTTTGATCATCTTTACGAAAGGTAATTTATGACGATACAGGATATACTAAGTTCGCAAAGCGAACTCCTTTTCCTGATTCTGTTTTGTGGTGTCTATTTCCTTATTCTATGACATGTAAATAATCGAAAGTCCTTGTAATATAATAATGTAACAGTGTGGATGTATTATTATATGTTCTTATTTGTGGTTTACGTATACTGTTCTGTTTACTTTCCCTTTCAAATCATATTATATGGCATATACATAAATACGTAAAAAATTACTTGAATTTAAAGAACTAGAATCGCTTTTTGAGTGTGGGAGATGAATTTCTCTTATTTAAAATAATCCTATTTTAGATATAAGAACTACTAATTATTGAAATTATCTCCATCTGCAGAAGTAGTCAGCCTTTTACTTTTTAGTTAACGTAAATCAAACTTTCGTTCACTATTTAAAATATTTCGATCATTTTTATGCAATTAACTAATTCATGATTATTTACGGCATATTTCACCATCGATTTCATTTAAATAGTCTATGAGGTTCTTGTAAAATATTTTCACGTAGCAGCATATTATCATGTATACAATTAAACTGTATAACTTAACTATGTGAAACACAATTACAATTTCAATTTACCCATTCAAATAATTGACCGTATGAAATGTTCAAAGGTTGTTGAACCGCTGAAGTACGAAACAAAAAAACCCGCGGTAGTCATTACGTGCTTACATTTCACTTAACAAAGAGAAAAAATAACGGTGATTTCTGAGAACACAAGTATTGTACCAGCAATTTTCTTGTTCGACAGCGCTAAGCATTTCTACAGACACTTTAAATTGAATTATCCATTAACGAGGAACAAATACAAGTCAAACAAATTGATGTGGCTAGAAGTTAACTTCCTTGTACTATAATTAACAACCATATGTGATATTAAAAATTAATTAAAATGATAAATATTACAATGCCACCTTACTGTCATGCTCAATTACAAAGTATGATTATAGACCGTCATGGATCATGTAATTTAAAGAGATCATTATCGAGGTTATTTAATTCATTTTTTTGTGTCATGTCAAATGATCGACAATATATCTTAAGTATCCAAAGTATCTACTCTACACGTGTGTCAGATAGTTAAAGTCAATGCAATTACGAAATGGACGCCACTTACTTTGACCATTGACAAAAATCGAATTACAAAATCAAGTGTATTCTGAAGTGCGTATATGCAGACCGAAACGTAAAACTGTATATCATGAAATCGAAAGGCATTATTCGTAAAATCAGTACGTTCTACTAATGTAAGACGTACAGCTCCATAGCTGTTTTTATAAGTGCACGCGTTGAAAAGGAATAAGAATCTGCGGCGAAAGTTATCTTTAAGTTGATTTTTTCATTCTCCAATCTTTTCACATAAAATAAGGCAGATAAGAAGGATCAATTGTGTATCAACAATTAAGAATAGATTCCTGATTTAAGTTGCTCCCGGTTAGTGACCAAATACATTGTTCTAATATACATATATCAATATACATATGTGTGTAATTCTCTATTCTTTATCATATTGATCAATATTCAATCAAAATACCATGTAACATTTTCTTCAGGTTCAATCACATCTAACAAGGAGAAATAGTCAGGATTCCTGATCAATGGTACAAAATGGATAGAAAGATAGCTACGTTCTTTCTTTTCCATTTTAGTGAATGGAGAGACGCTCTTTCACATTGGCCTTTAATCATTTATGTACATAAACCGGCATGTAACGATAAAATACTTTCACTTAGCGTTAGAGACCACGTGTCTTCATTGTCTCTTTATACAGAATGTTAGATGGATACCTGGGAGAACAGTTACTATTATAAAACTATGGACTTAGAAATTTTTATAAATATCAAAATTGGATTAAGTATCATTTTATCATCGCTCAATTCTTCGAATGCTGTCTAGTGACTTAACGTTGAACCTCTATATTAGACAGATGCCTTTGATAGTTTCATTGGAGATTGGAAAAGCAAGAATTTTCATAGCATGATGAACTCTGCATGTGGATAATCGAGGGATATGTTTTCAGATAAATATGGATGGAATACTATAGTATAGTGGAATAACTTGGTTACATCGAATCATCAAAGCTCCTCGTGACGATGAACTTTTGCATGTGGTTCTGCCCGATGGATTTAACCCTTTGAAGCATATATTCTTTCTTGCATACGATTTTCTGGAAACAGCTTTCTAGAGGTTTTTCCGATTGCTGATTTCGCATTGGACGTCGATATTTTTTATTAAAAAAATTCGAAATAGCGAATCAGCGTGGAAGAAAAAAGGACAAAGTAACTCGAATTTGTAGGAAACTTGGGAATTTTGTGGCTGTTCATAACGAATCTGAGGTTAATTTTTAAAAATTCAAAATAGCGGATCCAATATAGCCTTTTGACATGCCAAAACTAAACTGATGGACATGACCCCCTGAGTACAGAGTGTCATGTGAATCGATCTAATTTTTTCAACCTCGATCCAACGTATTAGATCCGCGATTTTCAATTTTGATTAGGTAGCATAATTTTCATAATTAGTAACCTACAAAATCCTTATTGATTGAGCTTCGTATAAATTTATAAATTTGTTGCAATTCCAAAAGCCCATATTGTATTTGGCTATTTGAATTTTGGAATTTTTACAGCAGATTCAGAATGAGCGTAGTTGCAAACATCTTCAGATTTTAAATTACTATTGATTAGCTATTAATGTGTTTATTTCGTAAAAAACATGATTTTTAGTAGTTTTCCTATTTATAATGAAATCTACATTGACAATAACGTCGTTAATATTATTCTTATATGTTAATTGTGATTTTAAAGGGTAAAGATACAAATGTCTCTTCTGATTTATTGAAGAATCGTATTTGAAAAAATAAAGTCTGTCATAGGGTGTGAATAACGCAACAGATTAAATATGAATTTAATAAGTTTCGCTTTAAGTTCCATTATATGAATATGATGTATTTTTTATCGCACTCGAAAAATATTGACATTATCCTTTCGAATCGATATATAGTAGATACGTTTGGACTTTCGAACGCTTCATAATGACTGTTTTTAACAGACAAAGTATTTATTGACTCGGAAAGATTGGTAATCTCAGGGAAAATACATTTATTTCTTGTTGCATATACGCGATATTTGTACGCTTCCTAGAGCGAAATTTACTGTCACTTCCTGCATTTGCATATAATAATGTATTGATGGACTAGAGGCCAATAAAAAATCTACAGGGAAACACACTTAGAGCGTAAAATAATGACAAACGATCATAATGGAAATGAAAACTGATTACAAAGCGAAACAGGAAACGCATCCTACAGGAAACTCCCATGGGAACCAAACTAAGAAACGTTCTCTAAGAAGCCTAGTTACTTCCGCTGAACATAATAAGTCTTACGCGATCCATGATGCCGGAGGCACACGCGTAAAGCGTCCTATCCTTTAGTGAACAGAGGTTCAAATGCAACTTATTGCTCGTTATAAAGGCTACCGGCTCTTTCACTCTTTTCTTTCGATTTATTTTAATTGATCTATTTTGCTCTTGCAAACCACAGATCGAATGGTGGAACGACAGAGTATCGTACTTTCGTTTCGTTGTACCTTCTCTTCGTTTCGTAAGAAATACTGTCACTACACTTCACCGCCATTTAAATTTGCAACTCGATTCAATTAAAGCGACATTGAGTGCTCTAATCCTTATAGGGTTGAATAAATCAACGTAAAAAGGAAGATATTCGACCAAATGGATATATTGTTGTTCCTTTCATATGGTCGACTGTTATCCAGATCCCTAGATTGTAGGATGCTTTCTTACAATATTCGTAGAAGAAACTGGACTCTAGCAGCGATTTTTAGTGAAAGGTAGTGGAATCGATCTAAGTATATAAGCTGCGCGTCAGCCCCTTGTAGACATTCAACATTTGAATCTTTGTGCTAACACAACCTTCCAAGCATTATCAACATGAATAAGATTGTAAGGGACTTTAATTGAAATTACTAAATAAATAGCTAAACGAAATTCATTACGAAAGTGAGGTGACATTTGGTAGCATTTCATAATAAGGAACAATTTTGGGGTTTTGTTATGTTATGTATCACAAAATATAGTAATGAAGTAATCGTTAGGGGTTTGAGGATTAGTCTATGAGTTGGCACATTAGACTTTCTAGAGTATTATATTTTAAGTGCTTTTATATGATTATTGGGTTTATGAAATGAATATTTTGATAGATTTTGGTACTGGGGCTTGTGGCTCTTGCCTCTGTCGTAAAAGCTAGCGGATATGGTCATGGCGGAGAAGAAGATCATGGTGGATCCACTTACGAAGAGAAGTCTAAAACTGTACATGTTCCCATTTATAAGAAGTATGGTAAGTTATTTAAAAATTTTCATACTAGATATTATAGATTTCACACGTTATGTCGCCCTTTGTTACGAAATTGAATAACTTTGTTTTTATATTATAGCATATTTTAGATGTCGAATAAGACTACAACTTTTACTATTAAACTAGAATATAAATATTTTATTTTTCAATACCCATTTAAAATTATCGTATAATAACTTAATAATTGCATTCAGCTCAGATTGAATGTTTTTTTTTCTATTACGTTAAATGGTACACAGGGTAATAATATTACTATATATTTTCAGCTATCCCTATTCCTCATCCCGTTCCCGTGCAAGTTCCTCAAGAAATCAAAATCCCCATTCCTCAGCCATACCAAGTTCAAATTCAAGTTCCTCAACCATACCCTGTAGAAGTGATCAAGCATGTCGAAGTGCCTGTTGAAAAACCTGAGCCCTACACTGTTGAGAAGCACGTAAGTCCTAATACAAAAATATTACAATTTTTATCACAACTAAACAGAATTTCATTATTTCGAACTCGAGATGCGCCTGTACACCTTCAACCCGACAGACACCGCAGTATAACACAGCAAAAAAGATCCTTACAAGCATTTTCTCATTATATGACACGCAGACGGAATTTCCATACATAGTAAAATTCGAGAAGAAATTTTCAATAGAACCAGAAAACCGAAAAGAATAATTATTTACTCGTCAGTAACTGAACAGTGACATTTTTTTGGTTTCGCAGGTTCCATTTATTGTGGAGAAGCCATATCCTGTTTACGTCGAGAAGAAGTTCCCTGTACCAGTCGCGAAGCCATACGCAGTTCACGTTCCTGTCTATAAACACGTGTTCCACCACTCGTCCGGCGGCAAGAGCAAAGGCTGGAATTAAATCTGTAACTACATGTCTTACAATTTCATGACTGGGGCAGTATTAAGTTTGAAAAAAAAGTGATAAAGATTTTTCATAATTACGTGAACTGTAATCATCCTGGAACGATATGCGTAGCAGCATAGCCCTCACTTTTACGATATTTCAAACACATATATGGATAAGAAATGACGAATTTCCATATCAGAAATATTGAGTATGAAGAATCTTGAATTGAAATTTTAAAATCGAATGATAGAAGAACAACTGCCACGAGTACCCAGCAGCCTAATCTATTCTGTACATAGATCGAACTTGTTTATGTTAGTTTTGTTATTACTATTGATTGTTATAATATGTTTACGTTTTTTTTTATACAACATAATGCCCGTTATCTTTTTAGCGAGTAATTTTGGAATAAAATATACATTTAAAAAAAATTTATCAACTTGCACCAAACGCGTCCTACAAATGAGTCCCAAAACCAGTGAAAATCTGTAGTAGGAATCCTCAAACGGGGCAGTTCGAGTGAAATGAGATCGAATTGATGGCGGGAGAGTGTTGGAACGGGTGAATGTGAACAATCGCTGCAGAACAAAAATGTGAAAGACGAGGAACCCGTCCCTTTCTACGTTCATAATAAATCCAAAATAAATCAGAGACGTTGAGAAGATATACAATTTGCTGCTTTATTTCCTTAATCGTTTAACTTGATTAGAATCGGCTAGAGTTGAGCCGCCGGTTAGTCGGGAATTCTGTCCGATCTCGATTTGCCATAATGAGTTTGAGTATACACGTTCCTACATCATCGTGTGAAACCACTTTTACTTGAGATGAACTTTCACTGTTCCGCTTGCGGATACGGATAGGATAGTTAGATTTAAATCTCCAGACATGTTGTATTTCTGTTCAGAACAAAGAGTGACGCAAGAAGTATACTTTTTAATTCGATTTGTCACTAAATCTCATTAGTTCGAATAATTATGTACATATGGAAATGATATATGGTTTTTTTATCTTTATATAGAATTACTTTTAACTTACCAAATTTATGGAAACGACTTGCATGAAAGTCAACGAAATTCAAAAAAACGTTTAGTCTATAGTTTGTGCATCATATTTAGTGGGTTCTGTAGAGAGCAGATGAGATTTATCCAAAAAAGAGTAATTGAATGAATCAATTTGTCTCTGTGACTATTTTAAATATTAATGGAGCTTATTTTTTTTTCGAATAAATTAATTAGATAGATTAACATGGGAGTGGTAGGCTTGCAAACACTTTCTAGTACGATTCGATAAATGGTAGAAAAAAGGATAATGAAACAGTGACATATGAAGATTGAGGTATCGCTTTCGCTTCATATCATTTATATATTCATATATGTCGATGTTGATGCGCTAAATTTTAATAATTACATTAATGTATAATGTATCTTCTGACTGTATAATTTTCTGACATTTATAGCTTCCCGTAAACTATTTAAAGGGAAATAGCTAGAAACTGACTCGAGAGAAAGGTTGCGTTTTGGATTTTTTTTTAGCAATTATATTATATTTGAAGGCATTTATTGCTACACTATATAATATAAAACTACCTCTTTTAGAGTATACATGTGAGTTTATTTCTTATTTAAAAGTGTTTAAAAATGATGAAGATACAACTGTCAGCACAGAATGTGTTTTTACAAACTCTTTTTTGACGATGTATGATAACTCTTTTTACACGATAACTCGGAGATGGCGTATCTAAAATAAAAAATGCAAAAAAGTTGTTGATGTTGATAGTTGTAGATAGTCTTTCTCTTAGCCGATTTTTGACTTTCCATGTCTTAACAAAATGGCGACTAATTAAACTACAACAGTATGAAAAGTATCGATTTCTTACACGTTTTTTATGAGCATAATCACAAAAAATTGGTTATGACAATATCTAGATAAAGTAATCAACTTTAAACCTTTTTTAATTTCAGCTCCTAACTATTCCCCCTCAATTGCCAATTGAACAGGTTAAATAGTAAATAATATCACATAAATTATATTCAAAATAATTCACGCAGCCATAAATATAATATGTATCGTTATTAGTCACGGCAGCCAAAATTTAGAAAGCATGAACGAAATCAGACATACAAAGATTCAAATTACCCTTTTTAAGTAGACGATGTTGGTTGATAAAATAGTTAAAGATAAATTAAGCAGATTTATCTAAAAAAATGAAAATTTAATGACTGCAACCCTAAGAGAATATATGTATGTTAAAAGCGAATATTAGAATTAGCTGTAATTACTTCAATTGCAAGTATCACGATGGCATTGGACGTAGGTTGTAATTAATATCCCCTAGCAGTTATCTGATCAAACTTCATTATATTACGAGTAATCAGTAACAAGTTTTCCTCATACAGAAGCAAACAACAGAATATTACAAAACTTAACATAAATTCCTATTCGATGGTCAAATTAATTTAATTCAATTACAGAATGGTACATTCAATAAAAGTAGATACCAAGTATAATCTATCCTTAAAATTCATGGCTTTCAAAAGGATGTTTCTAGCTTCAGTGTATTTCCTAACCTATCATAACCTAACCTATCCTATATATGATACATCTAACCTAGTACACAATAGATGTTCGACTTGCCATATTTCCAGACTAGTCATTGTAATAAAAACACTGGTTGTAAGATTTAAATATTAATACCAATTGGTGATGGTTCAATTAACCAGAATTGGAATTTACCTACTTGCCGGAGAGTTTTAATGTGAAAAAGAATCTCACGCAGGAGCCAAATGGTAAAATAACATAAAATTTGGGGCGTGTATGGTCGTCGATGGACAGGGAATAGTGAACGTGAGGATATTGATGCTACAACTATACACAGAATTTTATTATATGATTGTATTGAGACCGACAACCCATTCTGTGAACGTGTGCACCACAAATAGAACGTCTCGAGTCGAGTAATGAAAAGAAGGGAGAAAGTGCTCGTGGTATATAAACACTTGGCCATGACTTTGAAAGCGTCAAAGTGACTGAGACTCGAGTTTAACAGGGGGTTTGTGGAATCGCCTTCTTATTGATAAATTTTGGAACCATGAAGATTCTTGTGAGTATCTACAATACACAAGGTTTTTTTAATGGTCTGCAGATGGCGCTAAGATATTGAAAAAGCAGAATAGTGAAATTTAAAAATATTTGAATGTGTTAACAAGCATTGTTACGCATCGAGATGAATTCAATTCGACTTGAAATAAATACGCAATATTTTTACAAAAAACTTTGGATGAATTGTTTGTCCTAAAGGACATTTTTTTCTTCAGATTTTGACGTTTCTGGCAGTCGGCGCCTGGGCCTGGGAAGATGAACACGGAGGATCTACTTACCACGAAACTTCAAAAACTGTTGAAGTTCCTGTTTATAAGAAATATGCTATACCTATACCACATCCGGTACCAGTTGCAGTACCTCAGCATATCAAGGTTCCTATTCCGCAGCCTTATCAGGTCCAAGTACCAGTTCCACATCCAGTTCCGGTTGAAGTAGTAAAACATGTGGAGATTCCTGTTGAAAAACCTGAGCCTTACATCGTTGAAAAGAAGGTACAGCATCTAGTAATTAGTTTCGCTAATTATTATTATAATAAAAATTCTGTAATTTTTTCAACGACGCTTATTCTTGTTACAGGTACCCTACGTCGTCGAGAAACCATACACAGTGACCATAGAGAAACATTTCCCGGTGCCAATTCCAAAACCATATCCGGTCCACGTACCAGTTTACAAACACGTCTTCCATCATCAAAGCAAAGGTCATGGTTGGAAACATTGATTCTGATAACAAGGTCTACTAGCCGAGAACTTCATTGCCAAAAAAAAGTCTAACTGTTTCCAGTAAGCAAGTTAGATAAGTTCTATACAAACTGTAAATAGTTTTTGTTACTCTTTTTTGTTCCACACTTATTCCGTTTTTCATAATAAATGACTTTTACAATATATACCGACTATTCAATTTCTTCTCTCGGGTGTCACTCACGCACGTGAGATTGCTGAATGCGTCTGAAAATGGAGTGGCTGAAAGTATCTTGAAAGTGGGATACGATATGCGAAAGGGAAATTTATTTTAGTCTGACATTTGATAATGCTAAGCCTAATTTACGAGGAATTATTTATTTTTGAAAAAAACTATATAAAGTTTAAATAAATACTGCGTCGATGCAATTTCTAATCGATGTTACATGAAAAATTTTCTCGATTGATCTCGAAATTTCTAGTACACTTTCGCAAGTATTTAATGGATCCGCTTTACTGGCCGAGTTTTCTTAGGATGTATTGGGACTTTACTTGGAGGTTGTTTGGCATTAGAAACGCTGGCGAAGACCAAGAAAAGAAGGACGACGGCGTAACCCAGTCCCGTACACGTCGTTGTACTCTTACGGTTTAAAATGTATTCAGGAAACGACCATTGGGTGCGATCATTACATCATGGGCCAGACCACTTTTTGCACCGTACAAGGAAATTTCATTTGATTCCATTTAATTCCACTTCGCAAGAAACCCGCACCTGTAATGTGGAGCAAAAGTTTATAAAATGCTGGGACACACTTGAGGCGCGTTTAGTTTTATTCCCGGCATCTGAAGCATTGGTTAGATTTTAAATTTAAAAAATATAAAAAATTTGAAACATGTACGGCCAATCGGTGAGTATTCGAACATTTTCATTTTTTCTTCAATAGAACAATTTTTTTCAAACACGTTAGTTACCTAATAAAAAGACTGAAAAACACAGTATAATTACAGATCCTTTAAAAATTCATTGTCACTCTTCTAAAAAATATTTTTTATATTAATTGACAGGTACTTTATTTACTATGGCTTTCAAGCGTTTTGGCCGAAATGCCTATAATGAGTATGCCTATGGAGAAACAGTCAATGATGATGGCGGAAGGGACTGTGCCACGAGAAACTAAAACCACCGTCGACAATCAAATTTCACCATGTCCGCCATTTTATCCGAATTTTGGACTTTATTTACCACCACCGAGTTTCTCACGACCATATGGACCACCTACATATCCCAAGAAGGAAATCGCTGTATCAGTAGCAGACATAGCGACTCAAGTGCAGTTCGTGCATAGACCAAGCGCCATGGCAATCATGCCAAAACAAACAATTTCTTACGTGAAACCTGTTCACTCGGCTGTGAGTTTTCAGACCGTGCAGCAGTCGATTGTTCATCGAATCCCGCAGATTCATCCAATTCATCCGACTTATCCAATAATCAAGCAACCAACGTATGCAGTTCCAGAATATATGCCTCCAAAAGTCATATTTGAGAAGCCGAAAATTTCCTACATTCCACTTCATACCAAACCGATAATCCAACCAATTACCTATACGAAAACAATAGCAAAACCAATTTCATTCTCGGCAATGAACTTCAAAAAGTACGAATATCCAATTGTTTATCAAAAACCAACTATTTCGTTCAATCCTGTTCCCGCGTGCGAACACAGTCCTCCACCACCACCACCCCCTGTCATCGTACCTGGTCCCCAACATATTTCATACAACCCAGTTCATCCAATTGTCCCAGCAAAATTGATCCATGTACCACCGCCTATTTCATACGTCAAGGTAGCACAACCTATATTTCATGCGGTGCAGCCGATCTATTCTGCACATGCACATTCAGCTGTACCTGTACCGGCACCCGCACCAGCTCCTACACCCGTAACTAAAGCATCGGAAATAATTACTCATCCTTGCACAAAATGATACAAGAATTACAGGAATTCGACTGTATTTTGAGCATACGGCGTATTGCTTTATTTAATGCCTGTACTTGATGCCTCACAGGAGGTGACGGTTTATTTTCTTAATTCCTATAAATAAATTTATTTCTAATGAAGTATGCTGGAATTATATTTGTTTTAGGACTCTGTAACGTTTATGTTGACCATGCTATGATATATATGCTATTCCATGTATCGTAGAAGATTAACGTATGTAAATATCCAAATCAACAAATTGTAATCTCAAACCGTAAAGTTTACCTAATTCATTTTCATATTTATCTCTGAGAATTTGATTTAGTTTTCTTCTTGATACATAAACAATGGTTTTCAATTGTCTATATCCTCTCTGCGATCCGTCTGAGTATTCATCGTTTGTGAAAAATATACGTTTGAAATATAATTATTATTACATATCTAAGGTCAAAAAGTGAAGAAACAGAACAATAAGATATTATGCCACTATCATTTACATAGCTCTGCCTTTTGTTAAGATTTAAATTTGCTGAGTCGGTTTAACGCCAATTGCCGAAACGCCATGTTACACAATTTGTGTCAATTGTTCTCAAGAATTTTTCTGCGTACTTTTCATTCTATTATGTATTTATATTAGGATGTGCATAGTTCATTTTGTATATTCTACACAATTATGTCTCAACATACCTATCTATATACATACGTTGTCAGAATTTTAGTATACCTTATATTTTTAACTAGTTGCGCCCATCTTAACACAAGATGGATGACTTTGAATTACGCGTAAAAAAAAACAGGAATACTTTCGAGTGCGTGGTAAGTGCGTAACTAGCCGTAAACCCGTATTCACCTATTCGACAATGGAGCGAATTGTTTCGTCTTGTTGAAATTGCACAAGGGACACATGTGTAAGCGAATACATTTTCCCATACCCACAGTTATGATCGGCATGACTTACGTCTACGTGAATGCGTCATAATGTGCAATTGTATACTTGTTCGCTTACGGTGTTGATATTTCCCATGGAATTTCAACATGGATACTTTAGCAAGTATAAAACAACTTGTTGCGGGAAGATTTCTTTTAGTAGTAATTGGTGCTAGGATTCGATAGGGACACCAAATTCGCCATGAAAACTTTAGTGAGTAATTTCACGTGTGATCAATCGATGTGGCCATGGAAATTTTTATTTTTTAATTTTTAATATAATAAAGCATTATTTGTTGCGTGGCATATAAGTTAGTTAGAGGGTTATTCCGAAATAATTACCTGGACAGGGCATATATCATGATATTATAATAATCACCATACGATTTAAACGAACGGCTTAACTTCAGTATTGGTTGTCACTTATGCGATACACATGTAATATTTTTAATCGTATTGATTAAATGAATATTTTTGGAATTTAAAAAATTTCTGGCTCAACCGTATAAAATAAGAAATTATGTATTTCTGTGATGTTTACAGCTGTATTTGGCTATAATTGTCATCTGCCAAATGGAAAAAATATCAAGTGGCTTGGTGTATCCACATTTTCCAAATTTGAAAACTATCTATCATGGACATGGTGCGACGAGCTATCAAAATGTTGAAATTCAACATCATGGTGACGTGCCTGTGCCAGTGAAGTCACGTGTAAACCATGGTTATATACGAAACTTGTCAGGATATCCTGATTATAATGGTGCATAAATAAATTATAATTACTTTATTATGTACTTGTTAGCGTAATTGCCGACAGATTCGATTAAAGCGTTCTATGAGTTTAGCCGCATGTCAATATTTTATTATTCTGTTACAGGAGACCATAAACTTTCATATGTAACTGCAATACCGATTACGGATTATCAAGATATTGACAGCCAGTTTGTTTTATCATCCGCAGGTAAGTTTCGAGTGTGGCAGCGTATTGCTTGTTTGGAATCGAATGATGAAAATAATATAAAATAAAAATGTTTTTTAGCTCCATTTGCGGATAGCGGTGTACATATAGAATTTGGTAAAGATTCAGTTCCTAATTATTACGATAATTACGATTTCCATCAAGAGTATGAATATCACTAATTATAAAGTCTAATCACCGTTTAACTTAACTTAATAATATAAATAATCAAAGAATTAAGATAATCCAAGAGGAAATATTAATGCAGTGAACATTTATTTTGCCACTTTATTTCAATTACCTCTTTTTCATCCAATATACAGGCTAAAATAATAATCCATGTATATAACATTATATGGAGAAAACAACAGTATCTATATAGATTAGAATAATTAATCTATACTCTGCTTGTTACGTTATATACAACGACTTTCAGATCCGATCTGTCGTGGATTTTTCATGCATTAAAAGATTTCTATCCATTTCATTTAGATGATTTCTTTTTAGAAAAATGGAAGAAAAAGTATTCAAGAAGTACGAGCAATGCATTTCACGGTTTGACTTTAATTGAGAACTATAGAGGATTTCGGTACAAAATAACAAGAGTGTAAAGTTCCTTCGAAAAAACGAATAAACACTAAAAATTGGCTTGTTGAAAAGTTGAAAAATAAAATTTAATAAAAAATGCTCCCGAAATCTCGTGAGATATTTTGCGAAAAGACGAATTTCAAATCTTGAAACAATTCTTGTACGTATTGAAACTTACTGGTCTCAGTTAAAGATAAAATGTTCTTCAAAATCTTTTTCAAAAGGTAAGAAACTCGATAACAGGTCATAAAACTTTATAAATATGTATGCGTTATAGATTTTTGAGAAAACCAATATTCGCGGCTGTCTGAAATATTTTTTTAAATAATTGTACGGAATCTTAATAAAGAAATTCGAATTTGTCACATCGCGAATCAACACGATGACAAAATCGAGGAGGACACGTGTGCTCTCAATAGAATTTGGCATGTAATAACAGTTGAAAAATATAGAAGATATAAAATGGACACTAGAATCGTATCGTGATCATTCACACGTTACCTAAAGATTGACTAGATCACATTATTGACTACTTATAGTCTAAAAAATATTCTCCAAATTGGATATGGCCCTCTATCCAGAATTACATATTCAAGGTGCAACGAGGATCGATCTATTGCGCGATGAGACTCTTATAAAAAAATATTAGGTAGTATGAAGGACTACACATTCCCGCTTCTTTCATGGCATCGAAACGGGCTGAAGAAAAATCGCTGTTAGATTTGATCCCAATTCCAATAGTTAACAAATAATTATAATTATCTTAAGAACACCGCTATAGTTAAAATGGTACGTTAAGCGTGCGCGCGATTTACACGTAAAATTCGGTCTTAGGGCCCAGGTCGTATTCAATCTTCTCGTTCTTATACATTTCCAGTACCTGTATCGAAGAGTTGAATTACAATAAAATATTTTACAGAACAATAAAATATATTACGTGTACAATGAGCTAGCGTGTTCATAGAGCAGTCTAATAAAATAAATTTATGTATGTATGTACATTATTCATCTCTATTCACCTACCGCATTTACGTCCTTCTGAAGTTCCTCGAGTTGCTTATCGTGGATCACCTTGAGCTTGTCCTTTTCTCTATTTTGAATCATTTGAGCGATTTTACGCTCTTCCATGAACTTCTTCGTGTTGTTTTGCTGTTTCTCCCTGAGCCGGCCTTCCTTAATGCCACGAGTTTTTAAGGTCTTGTCGTTCATTACTTCTCTCATGCTCTCTACAGAGAGTCTTGCTTGTCTTGCATTCATCTCCTTGATTTCGCGCTCGTGTCGCGCGGTCAATTGTTTCAGCTGTGTTAACTGAGCAGCAGTACAAAGTTTGCGCAGCTGTATTCGTCGCTCTTCAAGGTGTGCATGTATCATTTCTCGCTCTTCACGTCGTTGTCTCTCAGCCAGACGTGTCCACTGTGCGGTTTGTTCAGATACTGCATTCCGTACAGTCGGATCCCTTGATAATTCAGCCTTGCTATAAAATTTATGATACTTGTTCATGAGATTCAATGATTTTATAATATAACCTAAATAATGATAACGCGATCAAGTTAAAATTCGCAAAAATGTATAAAATGTCTCACTTTTTGCCCTTGATAATTTTTTCTATTGCTGCGCATTGCTGTTTCTGGACTGTCACTTTTTCCTTCTGATGTCGCTTTCTTAAAGACTCCAACTCCTTCTGCTGCTTCCGCGAAATCTTTTGGAAGCCTTTCTCCATTCGTAGAGATTCGACGGTTATAGGCTCAAACTTCATTTCCTCTGGGCATAGTTAATACAAAGCTTATTTGAGTTACACTTCGATTCCAGCTATTCCAGAATTGTTTTTCATATTGTAAATTTTCTAAAGTTATTTTTCATTTACGAACCTCGAGGTTTCGCTGCTTCGTGGTGATGTGGCATTAAATCTCCGTGCATCTTACTGTCGCTTTCTTCTATTCCTAAACCGCGCATTTTTCGTTGCGCTATAGCTTCAGTTTTGCCGGAAGTTCGCGGTGCCGATAGTGCTTCCATAAATTCTGTAGTGATAATTATGTGTTAGATTATAATGGTATTAAAGGAAGTATCATTCAAGCTTACCTTGAAATCCATCGGGCACATAAATCTTTATCTCAATATTGCAGAAGAGCATAGGAAGTGACATTGGGAAGTTGGCTTCGGTACGAAGAGCAATGTGGCGATAGCCTGACTGGAGACCATCCAATGGGACGATTCTCTGACCGAGAAGCCTTCCATTGGATTCGTCGTAAACAGCAAATCGTAGAGCTGCTAAATCTGGTAAAACAACTTTCCGAAAGAGAAACGGTTCTTCATTGTATACTGGATTCAAGCCATTAGCCGGCACGACTCGAGTCCGAAATTCCTTTCTTATTGTGTCTGTTGGTAGACCGTACATTTCTACTTCTACATAAGTACCGACCTTTTTGTCCGACAGAAATTGGCCAGCAATTACCTGTTAAAATAAAAATGGATAGTTTATAAATTAAGATTTAAAAGAAATATTTGATAAGGCTGAAACATTTAATTAATAATAATAATAATGATGATAATAATAATAATAATAATAATAATAATATACCTGTACGCTACACTGAGTGGCTATTACTCCATCGACAGGACTTTCTGCGAAAGGATCAAAGTTCCTATCAGCGCGTCTCATGAAATCTGGTTTTAATAAATATCCAGAGGAACCATTGTATTCGAATTTTCCCTGATTTAACTGCATTGGCAGATCAGCAGTTTGAAAATTCAACGACACCATCTGACAGCCGGCGTTCCAGAAAACCTGTTAATATTTTGATTTGCGTAAATACATGATGTTCGTTTTTACTAAAATTGATATATCATTATTATTACCTGTGGCATGTAATTCGAAGAATCTGCTCTTGTGCCTTTGGGATAGATTCGACTCATTTGTCTCTTATTATAATTAACGAACTCAATAGCAGATGTCTTCAAATAATTAAGTCCGGCAGTTTCCGCGAAGGACGACATATTATAATGAATATTTTTTTCTGACAAAAGAAAAATATTTTTATCACTTTTCGTCGACCACATATGTCCATTAAATTAATTGTGAATAAATAAAATACATACTTTCTGCAACGTCGAATCCTGCAAATTTGATAGGCTGAGCATAATTCACCATAGATGAAAGCCAGGGGTGCACATTTGTTGTACTTCCTGTGTACGGTTGCACAACAGCCAATTCCAAGCTCTCTCCAAGACCAGCAGGCACAACAGTTTGTTGTTGTAGCTGTTGAGTAGCAACGCTACCAGATGTGACTGATTCGACAACAACCACTTCCTCCTAAGAAAGTACATAAAACAAACATGACTCGCATACTGATTGTCAAATAAACAGTTTTGTTAAGAGGGGCGGACAACGATCATTCTCAGGATTCTCGACAATGTTACCTTTACCGGCTGTTGTTCGACAACTGCTGCAACTGCAGGGGGTGCACTTGCATCCTCCTTGACCTCATCTTCAATAACAAATTGTCCTTGCTTGAAGAGTTCTAATTCCTGCTTCTCGACTTCGGGTTTTAACCTTTTATTTTTTATGAGGATTTTACGCCTCAGCATATTCGGAGAGGGGAGGGGTACACCTGGTTCCAGCTGATTGATTGCATAATGTATTATTCGAAATTTATTTGTTATTATATGAGTTTCTGAGAAGTTGAACTTACCGGATATTCTTTTAGCGGCTCTTTCAACAACAGATCTCCAAGGATTTCGTCACAATATTTTGCCAATTTGAATTGTTGACCTTTGCTGCAGTGATTCTCAAAACTGAGAATAACCGGATATTCTGATGTGACAAAAGCCGTGTCTCTCACTGCATATATCACATCTTTAAACAGTATGTCTGTACACATTGCTTTTCCATGTGTTATTATAGGCTCTTCGTCCTCTCCTTTGCCATCCCAGCAATCCAGTTCTACGCATCTTTTGAACAAAAAATGTATACCCCTGTTATATTGAAGACTTACATATGAAAGTACACGGAGTAATAAACATTACCTGCATCCAGCTAGTAACACTTGTCTATACATTTCAACACTACTTTTTCCACCGAATTGTCTGCCGCTTAAATAGGTATTATGACTTGAATTGATATAATAGTGTGATAGGGGTTGATCCATGTCCATGTAGACATCCAATCTATCCAAAAATACTGGAGCATTTTCATCAGATATTAAATATCTGATGAATCCGTCCTTGGTCATTATTTCTGAAAACAACAAGCATTATGAAGTTTCGACTATCTATTTGATAGAAATAAAACTAGGAACAATACTTATTTAAAAAACTGTATTCTTATTTACTTTGTTTTTTTGATGTTTCGTTCTGCTCGTAATCATTTATGATCTCCAGAGCCCTCTTTTCATCATAAAGAGGATACAGAATTTCATTCAAAGTGGGATCTCTTTGTTTTTCATTAAGAAACGTTATCAGTTGCTCCAAGTTGATAGTATCAGCTTTTCCCTGTGTTCTAAAGTATGGAAACAAAAATAATTAGATTATGTAAGAAAACTCCGACTATTTCTCCCATGTAGTTTCATTTCGATTCTGCGCAAGATAAATTTCACAGTTTCATTTCAATTGTTATACCATAAATGTTTCTTCACAATAAATAAGATCCACACAGCAAAGCACAAGGTTTACCATATACTCACATCGACTGAAATAGCTCCTCTATATCATTCCGTGGACATATCTTGTGATAGAGTGCATAGAATGCATCAAAGGTAAAGTCAGTTGGTTCAATTACATCATTCTGAAATAGAATTTTAAGAGCAATCCAATAAAAAAAGATGATTTGGAATAAGTTGAACTGAATCCTGTTATAATATTTGATTTTGGATCTCTTACCTTTCCACTAGGTAATCCTAAATCAGACAGACACTGATAAACAAGCTTTTCCGTTTTTCCGGACGCGAAAGTCCGCGCAACAACTTTTACCGGAACTTTACCATTTGGATCGACCAGCATTCTCAACCTCATCCAACTGGAACAAAGTTCTCTCATCACTTTCGATTACACAGATAAGAAAGTGCATCAATCCAGCAGCACAGTTAATTTTTTTATTTGAAATAAATAACGTCGCATTTCGTGTCTTTGGAAGTGTATGTGGATAAGGTCAATCATACCTTACGGATAATAAACACATGTATTTGTAAATAGATAAAACATATGTAATGAACTTACTGTTTTTTTAGACACGTTAACGGACACACGTTATTCGCCTTGACGTTATGAGTAATGGATCTTATTCCATCCAGCCATGTCTGTAATTATACAATTATGTAAATGCTATTTGACAATAATAGTAATTAGATACCGACGAATAATTAAAAAAAACACGACATCACTATATTAACACTTTGACATATGGTGGGTCGATTCCCGACCCACCTTTTTCCCTATCGTTTTTAGCTTTTCAAAATTATTCTTCTACTATAGAGAATGCCAATTTCTGCCTCACAAGGTCCCCAACACATCAACGACTCCAGAAAAAATTGCAGCCAGTTTTTATTATTGATTAGCATAAAGTTATAAATAAACTGATCGTGGAAATCAGTTTTTTTTTTACAAAAAATGTGTTTTCTATGACGCAATTATGAATATTGGCTCAAGACATAGTCCTTAGTGGTTTTTGAGATCGCTAATTATGATTCCCTTATCAGATTTTCAAAATTCAAAATTTAAGAATTCAAAATAGCGGATCCAATATAGCGAATTCAAAATTGGAAAACGATACAAATCTCATGAATTAAATGAAGTCTTATGTATACCCGGGGATTTTTGGGGTCGCTGATTACGAATTCGTGGTATACATTCTATACCTTTCAAATTTCGGCGGTCGCCATTTTGAATTCGCCATTTCGAATTTTGAAAATCTGATAACGGATTCGTAATCAGCGACTCCTAAAACACGTGTGTACCAAATTTCTGAAAAATCCGATCATTAGAAAAATGCATGATTCAAAGGATTAAATGAGTACTTGAAATAATCAAGTTCCATGACAACCCCTTTATTTATGAGATCTAGAATAACGGAAGACATTAGAGAGCGAAATATAACGAACATAATATACTCTTACTTCAGGATCATGGTAATGTTTCTTATATTAATAAATATCATAAGAAGAATTAGTTATGAAGCATGAAGTGTCATGCACTTCTCAATCATTTAGAAGTTTGGCCCGTGGCTGATTACGAAATACGTATCTAACCGGAAGTAAAATTTGTCCGTAAATGTTATCGTAAAAGCCTCAACTTTGTCCGTCATTATTGTAGTTGAGCAATACCATACCCTAACTCCGCATAAGTTGCTCGAGGCCGGTAGAAACTATCTAAAATACGAAATAACGAATATACCTTAGCCGTCACAGGATCAGGACACACGACATGTTGATAATTGATATTGGTGTAGTCAACCCCAGAGCAGATAGTTAAACTTTTATCTTCCAGTTGTTCACCATGCTTGCTGCAGAGTTTGTCAAACAACTTTGGATCCTGTGTCGAGTAGTTGTTATAACGTAGTACACTCATGAAAATTTGTTATACGTGTTACGTTTTAGACATAATAATATATTTTACCTTAGGTACACCCCCTGCTCGAATATCGCTGACTTGGCAGAGTTCGATAACATCGCCATCCTGAAAGACAGAAATTCTCATTGAATTTCCAAACCAGAAGCTTTGCCATGTACGAAAAGACTTGAATATAAAAATTTAAGTGAAAGAAACTATAGAGAGATGTCAAATCAATGGATTAATTAAAATATCTCACCTTCCCTTCGCTTTGCCAATAAATGAAGAATCCATATTCATCAACCTTAAACGTACAATTCAATTCAATTTCCGTGTTATCTTTCTCCTCTGACCAGCGATCAAATACGCATCCCGTACGCAGAGGTTCCGGGACCTCGACCTGCCAATTGAATTCGAATCTCTTGGTCATTTTTGCGAATATTCTTCGAACGTACTCCACGTAGTACTGAAAATATATTAAAAATTTTTTTTTTACATATTCAAAAGTATTTCTAGCTACGTGCTTAAGATCGAAGCTCTACGGCGAATGGAATCGTTAACCCAGTAGAAGAAAATTGAACGACAGCGCCAAGGAATGTTAACATCATCTAGGAACTGCACTCATATTCTATTCCAAGGTTACCAAGCGTACCAAAATAGCACACTGATCGTGAGACAGTGTATAAAAGGTTATGGTCGAGATATTTGGATAGATAGTAAAACGCGTTAAACATATAGCATCCCTACATTAGAGCCGGATCGATTCGTGACCCCGATACTTCTATGTCGCCCCTTAATAGGATTGTCTGTCGTCTAATCGTCTATTAACCCCTAGATAGTGAAAATCCGATACTGCCTGAATGATCAGCACGAAGGAAGCAATATATTGTATATAAATATAAGTTATCATTAATAGACAATAGACAAAGTACGAGAGCCTTATCTATACTATAAAGATTATTTTCTTCTTTCTTATGACTGACACAGAAAATCGATTCATCGGTAACGAATTAATGTATAAATGACTATTACGAGTAGCAGTTGATTTCTTTTGAACGGGACTATAGTCGACTTTGACCAACGAACGATCAACTGGTAATGATTGCTTCCCCCGCTATTCCAATTCCGATAATCGCGAATGAACGGCCGCCGTTCCTTTGGGATTCCAGACAGATGCTTCTTCGTGTTTCTAATAATGTTAGTCGTCGTCGAATGAAGTTTGAGAAATCTATTTATATACAAGAACCGTGTTCTGTGCTAAACACTTACGCCGTTAGATTATTCCCCTTCGAATGCCTCGCATGTTAGATCCCCGCCACACCTGGAAACATGATGAACAAATAAATAACATTTAAAAAAACACTTGTATATATGTATACATATATGCACTAATATGCAAAATACATATACATATTAATACATACAGTATATATATATATATTGTACATGTGTAATAAATGAGAAGTCAAGGAAACGGAAAAATTATGTATGGATCATATAAAGTCTATATGAGAATGAAATCTCGATACAAAAAACCATTTATTAGTCAAGTCATTACAGAGTACGTTAACAATATACCGAAATATTAGCGAATATAAAATTGTTCTCAATTTTATTTATTGCAATTTTTTTACGTAAAATATTATCAATTAATCGAGTGCCAACTTTGTATACCACCGTTAAAGAAATGTCACCTTGCCCAACTAGGAGAAAAAAATGTATCTGTCATTTTTACCCGAATCGTCTTTCAGACACTTATCGTACGGAAGCAATTAAAGAATTAAGCATACAAGTAAAAATCATTAGTAATTATATTCGTGCAGTACGTAATACTATTACACGCTGTTGAGAATAATAATGTATACATTGAACGGAAATGAGTCTCATGTTTCAGCAATAGCAATGTTTTAAGCCTAGATATGATTTCTATGTAGATATACGGTCCATACACGGATAATATATGATTCATATATGACCAAAACTGTGAATGGTTCATATATAATCCGCATACGTTCCATATATAATTTTTCCACTTTGGTGGTTCTATATATAGAAGGAAGACGCCTCTGCGCGCAACTTCTCACGACGCTGTTGAACTTTGCAGCTGATCTACCTACGCTTCGCGGGCATTACTGTCAAAACTATGCATGGAACGGAGTGCGTTTGCTTATTTTTACTGGCGCCGTAACGCCAGTAAACGACGCTGTGATGGTTAACCTTCGTTCGATGGCTAGCCTCTGTTAATACGTGAGGATGACTGCGTGATTTCCGGTGGGGTACATCGATGTTCTTTTTTTTCTTTATTCATTGTCCCTTCTTTTCCACCCCTCCCCCCACTCTTACTTTTTCTTTCATTGGACGAAAAACTTCCCAGCAATTCCATGCGTTACGTGTGGCACGAAAGGCATGCATGGCTGTCGTGTTACATACGTTATACATATATACATATAGGTGCAACGCACAGGTGTTTGTTTCACTATTCTATCGGTATGTATCCAGTGGCGGTAACTTAAGAATGAGGGGAGCGAGGGAGGCGAGGGAGAGAGAGGGAGATGGGGAAAGAGAGAGAGAGAGAGAGAAAGAGATCTACGCAGCCTTGTTAATTAAGCTACTTGGACTATATCGCTGCGGTAAAGGTTTCCCGGTACAGTTGGCTAAGTTAAATTATCTTTGCCGGCTAATGCGTGTGGAAACTTACATACATACGCATGCTCTCGTGAATACATGTCCCATACGGATATCCCACTCGTTATCGTAGCTTATCTTAATTGGTGCGTTTAAAAGTAAAGCTTTAGATTCTCGGTCTAGCACAGTGATACAGAAAGCAAGAATAACAAGGAACATGCACTAAAAAATATTAGGAAATACGAAACTATAACGCTAGAAAATTATCATGCTAATTTAAATTTAAAAAGGATCTCACTAATTTTTAATAAAGACTATACTTTTATGTTTTATTTTATTCCTTATTACGCTGGGCTTTAGTTGATTTCCGTGTCTCGCGTATAAGGATGCTATACGTTTCCATGAATGTGATGGGGGCGACCATTAATCAAATCGATAGACTTCCCTTTCCATTGGACGTCGGTGAATTATAATATATGAAGTAATTCTGACTGGTCGAATGGAGGATTCCTTTCTTACAAGGAATTGCAATGGCTCTACGGAATACTGAAAATACCAAGTTCCCAGTTACGCGCTTGACCGCAGGTCGCTTCTATTCGAACGTGTGTTAACAATTTATGCACGCTACCATCCACTGCGAGGATGCATTGACGTGTATCACGCATAAGCATAGGGCGTCGCAAATATTCTAAACCAACTGACACTCGAAATTAATCGCGTTTTGAGAAAAAATTCCAAAACTGTGAGAGCATTTAATCTGGTAGGAATAATTATAGTTATGGTCCTACTTTAATTATCATGTGATCATCTAAATTATTTGCGACGGAGTCTAGCGAAATTATATATTCAGGTAGATATGAATACGCTGGGATAACTATCTCGCTACAATTATCTTGAGTCTATGTAATATTTCTTGTAAATTATCAAACAATATTTCACGCCGCTTGAGCTACTATTCCTAAAAGCGGCATGTTTTCAAAACACGGGTCTATATAAACGATGGAAACGTCACCAGACTTAAAATATGTATATCTACATGTATACACACATCTATGTGAGCATTATGACTGTGTATATCTTACCTCAAGCTTTAACGCTTCCTAATTCTCGTGATGGAGACACAAATTGCTAACGATTTGAACGTACATGATCCATTCTAACATTGGCATGCAGTGCGAAGGATAGGAATTTGGGAGAGATTAATCAAGAGGATCTTCAGCTAATGAGATTTAGATGCACGGACATCACATAACGCTAGAACAATGCATACGGGTCACGCATGAGCATAGACCTATGAAGGAGGTCGGACTACTCGTGATACGCAGGCAGACAAATATGTATAGGTATAAATGCGTGTCTTCATGTAACCGTGATCATGAATCGTGAGTATGAGTGTACGGGCGAGTTGCGTATTCTCTCTTACCGTTTGACGGGCCTCCACGGAATTACCGCTGGTACAAGTCACCGTAAGAACGCATGTTGCACTTCAGAGAGCCTCGGCACGTCCGGTTTTGTGCGAGGCTCCGCTGCTCGCGCGATCGCAGCCTTTTTTCCCGCAAGACTCGAGCAGAAAATGAAACTCCTGACGTACCTATACGGTGCGAACAAGCTAGCTGCCAGGCCTGGCTCGATACTGTCATGTTCCCCATTCGCGCATGCTCTGCCTGCCCGGCTATCTGAGCTTCGTTTCCATTCCAATGTCGATAAAAGCGGACTACTGCTTTACTGTTTGTACGCTATACCGTGCTGCCACTCTTGCTCTGGCTGATCGTCAGAGGGCGAGCTGTTGGACAGTAGAGATACGATGAGAAGAGAGAGAGAGATAGGAGTATTGATGAAAAGTACAGGGGTATGGAGGGAAATGGAGAGAGAGAGAGAGAGAGAGAGAGAGAGAGAGAGATTTCGTGTCGGTTAAGTATAGGGCTTCAAAGTACTAGGCTATGGTCACTAGCTATCTAGTCTAGTAGGAGATACGAGTAAACACATTCCAATGGCCTAGTCACATACGTATATGCTAAAAAAAGAAAAAAGAAAAGCATAGAATTAAAGTACAATGTCCGCAGAAATGTAATGAACACTTCGGATGATCCAGGCTGACCTGTGTGGTATCCATCACGTCCTTATGTTCCAGCATCTTTTTGAGATTCTATTTATACCTATGTCTATAAAGCATTGTTTTATTTTTTCACCAAGCACACAAACACTTTCAGCGTTAGCGTTCTAACATGACGAGGAATGCCTGTTAAGGCTTCAGAATTCCCATCAGGTAGATAAAAGGATTCGCGGGAAACCAGTGCCTGCTACTACCCACGCATTTGTCTTTCATTTGTCTTTCATTCGAAGAGTTAGTCCAGCGACTTGCGGAACGTTTTGTGTTCGTAACGATACAGATGTACTATCGTGTCCAGTTTAGTGCCGATAAAAGCAACATGCTATTTTGCTCTTGGGGATGACTGTGCCTTGGGTACATCGTATATTTCTTACATTAGTAGTAACGGTGGGATGCTGAAGCACCACCTGACTCTAAGGCAAATCTTTTAGAAATGGATCCGAAGGTTCAGTTAATATTACCAGACATCCATTGCCTATCTAACGTGACATTTTTTATTCGTATGCTGGCGGAGCTTCATTTCCTTAAAAATACCATTGTCCAGAAAAGGCCTTTGTCTCTTGGATATTATTGCGCTGCCGTTTATATGGAAACGACAATCGAATTTGATATATATTTCGAATTTCCTTAGGTTAGGTATAATAGGCCATGTATTCTGTATTGCCGAGATACTTTTATTCGTTTCGCAGTCGTGTAAGTAGTTATTAAAGAAAATGACTTCAATTGAGAAGAATTTCTATGAGAACTATTACAAGAAATAGAAATTCGCGGAAAATCGAGGGTGCGTTCTTTTTCTATGTAGAATTCCGGGTAGCCACAGAAAATTCTAAAAACTTTACACTGTCAAAAGTATTTGCAATTGCAAAGTATTCCACTATGATACACACATGTTTTTGGAGTGTATAAACGTAATTTAAATATTATGACTGAAATTTTAATTTCGCTGAGCAATTCCAAAAATGCTTTACTAATTAGTAATCCCGTGGCCAATATTTTTAACGTAACGCAAAAACTTATTTCAATGTGATAATATACAAATTTTTAGACATGTTTACGAGAATGTCGATATTGTTGGGAATTTATAACCGTGTATGCCGATTGACATGAGCATTAGGATATTTGACCAATTTTTCTAACTGTGACATTGAGAAATATGAGATTTTAATTTCGGACACAAAAAGCACGAATTCGAGCAATCAATCCTCGAATTCGTACGGCAGTGCAGAGGCACATGAAGAGTGTAGCATTAATTCCATTGCCGACTAATATTAAGATTCATGCATAAAATGCATAAATTAATATATTTCTAGGTCCTTTTAAAAGGCTATGATATTCCACGATATATAGCGAAATTCTAATTTTATCAGTGTACAGAGGTAAGTATTGCGGTGCTTTCACAATACATTCGCCTTTCAAATTTTTATATAACTTAATACTACCCTTAAAGGGATATTCTTATGTTTCGGGTAAAAATCGTTTTTTTTTTAATTTAATTTTTCTACAATCCTTCTGCAATAGGAACGTTAAAGCATTTTTGTGAAAACTTAAAAAGCATTGTATTTATGAAGATTTGTAGCCAAGCACCCGCCGGTCAACAAATTATCTGGCCTCTCTTTAAACGCATTTGTCTCAAAACTACGTTTTCCGAACTGGTTCCCACGATATCTTGAAAACTATTGCACCGATTAAATTGAAATAAAATTCATTCGATTTGCATATATATTCTCTACAGCCCGAAGCAAATTTGAACAATCCATATAAACTAGATTAAAGTTGGAAAAATTCGTAATTTTTAAATGTTTTATTCAAAATTTTGTTTCGGGCTATAATGACAACCTTCGTGATTTCAAAAATATTTATTTTTACATTTCTGATTAATAGAAACGGCATAATCATGAAAAATATCAGCTTAAAAAAATTATATACAGTCCGGATCTGACTGCGCTAATTCCTGAAATATTAATTTTTTTACGCTAAATTTGTGTTCTAAATAACCAAGTGCATATTTTTTTTTTCATTTACTACTTCATATGCTTTATTATCAATTTTATACAGAAACATTTATACACAGGTGATATGTGCAATACAGTTGTTTGACTTTGAAGGCGATACGTCTCAATTTGAGCAAAGTCTACCCGCTTGTCCGGCAACGAGTCGCACCTCTATTCTCAATTGGGCGACTATATATTTCACGGTAGACGTATAAGTAGGCATGTAAATAACAACGTCTAAAAGTAAGATTACTAATATTTTACAGTCGTATATTATATATAAGCATCTTATCTAATTTTATTACATAGTATTTCATTGCAATTTCATTTATTGGGAGTAAGTTTTAAATAATTATATTCGTGCCAGTGCGTCAGGTAACCACGAATAGCATTGAGTGCCCCCGGACATACTTCGAATAAAAATACGCCGACTAGATGTTTCTAGCGTGGCACAATACAGTTTATATGCCGTCGGCTGTGGTTTAGCCAATAACTTCAACTACTTATATAAATGCTGAAATTTACTTGCAAGGAAAAAAACACGGAGATAATTGGTCTTAAAAAAGCTTGAATGAAGCTTTTGAAATTGTTTGAAAGTAGGCTTTCAATGAAAGGGATTTCAGAAAAGTATAACATACGATAAAGCACACTTAACGACAAAATTCCTACATGAAAAAGGGAGGCACAAATTAAATTAAAGCCTTCGTTATAGAGATTTGAGTGCAGCTTTTCTTTTCAGTAACAAAAACATCTGTATATGTACGAGCAAGAAATATTCAGGTAAGTGAAATGTTGAATTTGTCGTCATGCAAAAGCAGGCTGATTGGGGAAACAAAAGCTTCAAAGAAAAGATTAAAACGTGCACGTCAACTTGAAGTGTACAAGACGCCTTGATGTATTGTTTCCGGATAAACTTTCAATAAAGACTGCATTCAGCATCACTTTTATAAAGGTTGAGAACGTGAAATATATGTGGATTATACATATATACATGTATTGTATATCGATAATATATCATTTGATTTCTGTAACTGTGACGTTTGCCTAGCGAACGAATTATTTGAACACCCTCAAATTAGGCGTCCAGAACATATAGAAACTGACGGTCAAAGAATTTAATATTTTTCTTAAATTACCAAATTTAAATTTTCGTACTATAATAATGTTTTTATTGAGTTACTAAAATTTAAATAATAAGAGAAAATGAAAGCAACTAAAGGGAAAAGAAAATCACATATTTTTGTCTAAATACATCTTTAGTTTTCAACTCAAATAATCTTCACTCTATTTCTCTCCTCTTATCTGATATATTTTCTTCCTTTTTCCTTACTTTCCTCACAACTGGCTCTACTATCTTCCCCTCTGCCTCGTCCCATACCCACCGTCATCCACATCCTTCCATTTTCCACCTCCACTTTATCCCCTTTTCTCATTTCCTCATCTGTTCTCTCCGCTAGTTTCCACCTGTTCCTTCTTTCCTGCCACGTCAAATCCTCATCCATCTTTAGTCCTGCCTAATCCCTTATCTCCTTTTTCCTGTCCGGTCCACTTCCTTATTCAGTTTCTTTTCCATCATCACCCAATTTTAATTTATGTTATTATTCATTATTACGCATAAAAAAGTATTTATCAAATAAACTCTTCACTCCCGAAAATGTCCAGCGGTACCCACCTTACTTCTACACTCTACAAGATAAGTTTTTACAAACAGCGTTTTAATACCAAATTGCTTCATATAAGGTTCATATCAGTCACAGTGTTAGACGTGTAACGGAGGTTGTGTTAAATAATATGTTACATGAATAACAGTATTTGGTATATGACAAAGTAACACCACTTATAGATATAAATAACAAAGTTTCGTAAACTTTAACTCCATTTGCATTTCAACGTGGGGTTGAAACTGCAACTAACGGTTGCAGCTCCGCACTACTCGGAACACGAACCACCGAAATTATTACATACCGCCCGTCGCTGTGATTTTTAAACCTATGTAGTTTTTGTATTTTTCACACACAAGTGGTGATAATTTTCAAATTAAAAACAAGAATAATACCATAACGTTGGCTAGTCGACTGTTTACACTAAGTGACATTCGAATATAGAAATAAACCACAAGATATTGTTAATATGACATCAAAAACCCCCATAAGAATTCAATAAATCAGTCTTATTGTTAATACTGAAAATTTTAACCTCTCAAATCAAAACGTCTTACATCGTTAATCTTTTACAGTGTATACTATAGCTATGAGGCTAGAATGGATATACCTATGGCACGTGATAAAAGGATATTGGCACTATTCGTAAAGTTTATGAAAAACAGTGCGCAACTAAAAGAGTAAAATTTTATGACTTTGGGTAACAAGTACTAGCAACCATGTCGTTGCCAGCAACTTATTGTACCTTTTCAAGTGCCGCACGGATCTCATTATGAGCTAGAGGAATTTAACTTCTGGAGTTTACGATTACGGCCACGGTGCGAATTAAGAAAGAAACAAGGAGGAAAACGTAAGAAATATAAAAGTGTTTCGGGTGGTAAA